AAAGGCAGACTTTGCCTAGATCTCCTCAAGACATCTGCAAACTTACCAGAAGGCAAGAAATTATAGTAGATACATACAGGTAGAGTATGTACACAAGAAATCAGTGGTCATCAGAAATAGCTCTAAGCTGCCAGGGAGCATAATGCTCGTCAATGCTCACACACTTCTCTGTGTGAAAACCACAGCAAAGGAGAGATTTCAGAGGGGTTTGCAGAAGAGCAGCTATAGAGCATTATGGACACTTGAGAAAGCGTGCAGAGCATCAAGCTTGAAAAAGTAGAAGGAATCAAAGGCCAGTTGGAAGCACAAGTCATCATACAAATAGGACTTAGATTGACTCCTCCGATCTTCTTGATTGGAAGAATCCCAAAGAATAATGTGTAAAGTGTCTGTCAGTGGTCAGCAGCCTGATCATAGAAAAGATCATTGCCATATTTCAAATTAAGTTTTAAAATAGAGGGGAGACAGATGGATCGGAGTCCATAGACTACAGAAAGTGAGACCTAATGTGTGTGACTATATCATTGTTTAAGCAAACACTTGACAATTATTATTTTTAAAAGACATCTTTAATAGATTTTTTAAATAGCTATTGCAAACTTTATTTGAAGAAAAATAAATCAATATCCTTTTTTTCAAAATCCTGTGAAACAATCTAGTCCCTCAGTTTTTCTGTGTTATTTGAAAAGACAGAAGCAGTTTGCACAGCTGGTATGTTAATTAATCTCCATTTGCTCAAAACAGGTTATAAAACAWTATTTCTTTACCATTGCTGACTTCATCAAAACTGAAAATATATTTGATGATCCTAATCTAGGTCACAGTGGATATCTGATTACATCTCAAGGCAACTAAGAATTTTAGTTCAAATTACTTAAGGCCAGAATGGAAAAAGAGGAGATGCAACGGCCACCCAATAGGACAGCTAACACATGGCACTTCCCTTGAGCCAGCATTTTTATATTTTCTACCTAATAACAAAATATTGCCCAACCTACCAATATTTAAAAAAAAAAAATAAATCAATAATACAAGATCTTAGCAAGGTTGAGGAAACTTTTGGATAAACATTAAGAAATCCAGAAATAAAAGGTATGATGCAAAATTAGAGAAATCTTTACATTGGAGCTCCAGTGACTCAAATTTTGTACCATATAAATTACGTGTATGTTCATACATATCTGAAAAGGTACCATTTAACAAAAATAATGGACTGATCTACATCATGCTGTCAAACTTTATTGCATAGAAAAGCATTAGTGCAATGATATTTCCAAGTAACACACAAAAATGCAATAAACCAACCAAGAAACAATACCGAAGTCAAATATTTTAGCACAGGGCAAAATAATAAACAGGGCTAATAACTCAAAAATGTGACTGCATAACTGCTCTTATAAACTGTAAATTACTAGGCATAAAATTTTATTTCAAATTTCAAAATCTATGCATTTAGAGTGCAGTTCACATTGAAGGTTTATGTTAGAAGAGGGTTGTAATAGAAAAATCTTGGCTATTACAATTGAAATGTTGGGGTTTACCCTGTATTTCTACAGGAATCTATTTAAACCAAGTATCATCAAGATTCATACCAATCTGAACAACATCATGAGGAAATATTGCTAGGGTAATATTTTGAAAATGACTAAAACAAATGTCAGAATCTCATGTCCTATTTTCAAGAGGGATTTTAAAGCCAAAAGAGATGCAAATAAAGTCAGACTCTGGCTCTTCTAATTCCCACATGCCATTTGGTGATATCTCTTTTACCATGTACAACTGTGCAACTCAGCAAACTTCTCTTGCTTATACATTACATGTGCTTTGATTTTTTTCCCCTCCACTTTGGGAACTAAACTGTTGAACTGACCCAGCCTGCAAAATCTGCTGTAGAGAGGAGCCAAATTTTACCCTTGGGTACAAACATCCAATCTCACAGACTGYATGAATGACAACACAGGTAATATTTTGGGTGTCCTGCATAGACTGTGCATTGCTAGCAGGAGGCTGAAAAGGACACTGGAAGTAGCAGAGGATACTGAGTCCTCAAACAAACAGGATTCCCTCAAAAATGTTCAGGCAATGCACAGGAAGACTCCATCACTGAAAAAAAAAAAAAAAAGAAAAGAAAAAGAAAAGAAAAAAAAAAGAAAAGAAAAAAAGCACAAAAGAAAAGGTCTTCTCCTCCTCTAACCTCAAGAACAGATTCTACAGAATTGAAAAACACATACACTGAGCATCTGCACAGAGGTTCCTATATAACATACGGGAAACAAAACAGGAGAAAACAACAGGTGCTGAGCCACATTATATTCCGTTTTCTCCATTCCATTCACTGCCATCATGCAATGTAAAATTTATCCTCTGCAACTCATCAAAAGCACTAGCTATAACTGCAGAGTGACTAAAGGCATCTTTGAAGGCAACGGTGTAGTGAATTAAAGGCCAACTGGTGTCAACATTTGTTACAAGGTTCCTTCAGACCAACTTAGTAAGGAGGCAGATTTGAATTTATGAAAATGATGTTCCTACTGTATAGTAAAAAAAATAAAATAAAAATGGATGTTTGTTCGCTGACTGTGACAATTTCCATGTCATGGTACATTGTTATTGATGCTTTTTAGTTGGGTATGGAAGGCAGCCAAGAATCATTTAAAAACATGTATTGTTTGTCTCTGAAGGATAAAATGTAAGGTAACACTAAGAAAAGCTGCACTCCCTGAAATTAGGCTGAGCAGTTTGAATCCATGTTTCACAAAGCATATTTGTGAAGCTGAGAAATAAAAACAAGCCTACAAAATAAAACTAAAAATTTATTCTTACTACCTACTGCAAAACTGCTTACCTCTAGTACATTTCCAATGGAAAATAAGCTTATCATAATATTCATCAGACATTAATGTCTCCCTTAGAAGCTCTATGCAGAGTGCAAAATGAAAGTTTGAATTTAGAGTTCTTGAGAGTAAATGGAGGCGAATGGGACATCAAGGCTGTTGTTCCCAAAGGCAAAGAAAGACTTGCTTTCATCCTTCACCTAGAAATCAAACCCACAGCAAAGCACATCCCAGTACAGACTGTGAGTGTCTTCTACATCATATACCTGGCACAATTCAATGTATGCTCCCACATAAGGAATAAACGAATTGAAACACAAAGATACACTTTTATTTTTGAATCATGGTTTCTATTAGCTTTGGAGCCAATTAATGGTAAGATTGACAGATCTGCATCCTACTGATTAAGTAGTGCTTTGGACTTCAATACATAAGCTATTACTTCACAAGGATCAGAGTAGCAGAGACATGTTAAGGCATCAATCAGCTGCTTGAGAGGCTAGATCTAATGGGCTTCAAAGACAGGCAAAAAGCATGAACCGAGGACAAAAGCATCAGGCCTAAGCCTGTTTTGTAAATTTTAAATACAGGTTAAAAAAAAAGAACAAGTAACCCAGCTTTAACTAGTTTTGTAGTTAAAAACACCATATCGTATTATTATTAAAATTAGTAGTATAGTTTTAAAAAGTTCTTGCCTCTTTTAAAGTTACCATGAGCTAAATTCCTTTTGAACAAAAAGTATAGGCAAGCATAAAATACAAAAATATACATTTTAAGCGGTAGCAAAATTTGAATAAAAAATTTAAATTGCTCAAGGAAATAATTACATGTGCACAGGCACACACTCTGTCTCAAAAAGGTGTGAATGAAAGAGAAAACAACTGCTTCAAAATTTCTAATAGTGCTGTCTGGCATGACTGCAATAAGTTCATTTTAGTAACTAGGAGTGTTGTTATCACTTTGACTTCCTTGTCAAAAAGAAGTAAACATTAAATAACACACACAGTCTTCAAGAAGGATAAAAAACCTATGAGACAGTGAACATGTTCACTCAAGAGGGAAGAGGATTTTCTGTACTCATAGGGYCTTTACTTCTCCCCATGAACAAAGAGTAAGTTTGGTTCCAAACACATGCAAATCTAAGATATTACCATCCCTCTTCTCTATCTCAGCCCAGTCCTTCATACAAAGGAAATATCCTTGCTAAGTTTGAGCAAATATTTTAACTATTTTGCTGGACTGAATGCATGTGCAGCTCCTAAAAGCTCCTCCTCTGTCAATCAAGAACTGGAGCTACGTATGTACAAGCTCTCGTTCAGGGCCAGAGCAGTCGACACAGTAGCAGAGCATGGCAGTAGCTGTTGGGGCATTGTACCATTTAAATCATCAGCATGGGGATACTGCAAACACAAGACGTAAGTGATCCCCTAGGATGATGTTTCWATAGAAGATTTACAAAAAACAGGAAAGGATTATGGCAATTCTCCTGGCACTAAATGTGCCAGTGAAAAAATGAGGATTCTCACATGGAAAGAGAATTAGGTTTATTTCTGAACAACTCCGTAAGAATGAAATCTCAGATATAGACTCCAAGGCTCATACATTTACAGTAAAAGCCTGTTATAGCAAAATGCATGAAATCATCTTGAGGCATTATTTTTCAAATATGATTAACTTAAAAAAAACAGAAAAATCTACGTGGCTTCACTGCCATTTTATATATATATATATATAGAGAGAGAGAGAGAGAGACAGTCAATTTTCTGAAATATTCAGTTTGTGAATGCAGTACTTTTCCGCTTTTGGATCTGCTCTGAAGCCAACATAGAGGGAAACTCAATATTAATGTGAAGTATCATGTTTGCAGAACAGAAAAAAGAGAGTTCTGGTACCAAGCTCTCCGTATCCTGCTTACTAATATCCCAGTAAAGGAGCAGGTAATTTTTCAGAATCATTTTTACAACGTAAAAATAAGCAAAAATAGATCAGGTAAAAAAGGGGGTGGGAATGTGGAGCTAGACATATTTTATTAAATCGCTTCCTCAGTAACTCTTTCTCTGTGCTTCTTCAGAAAATAATTTCAATATGGAACCACCACTCAGAAGGTTTTTCTAGTAGAGACTTYTAAGTTTTCTGGCACAGCCAGAAACCTACCATATGGGCCACTCCTGCTCCTCCTGAGCACAGCAGGAGTCTGGTCTCTGTAATCACTGAAGACGAGCTAGTATTCAAACATAAAATTTTCTTTGGATTAATTTACGGAAACCTTAAATGTGAAACATAAGCAGTTTCCTTCTACAGCACCCAACCAAGCAGCAAGCTTACTTGAACAACAAATAACATGAGGAACAAGGAAGATAATGAAGAGTGCTGAAGCAAGGCTGAAGGCCTATCCCCGCTGCAAAGACTGCAGTCATTTTTACAGAAGTCACAAGTGGTCACACTTCGCATTACTTCTGAATTGTAGCTTCTCACYGCTCTTCTCCCTGTTCAGAAAGGTTAGTTAACACTTTAGTGAATGAACTTCTGAGAATTGTCTAAAATTTAGAAACTTGTAACATGCTTTAAAGGGATTTTGATACATGTTGTTCATCTTTCATTACAGAAATATATACATAATGAATCAAACATCTCATAATTTCTAGCAGAATGCAGTAAATATTTTTTAAAAAGAAATTTAACTGTATCTATGCATGCTCATTTATATGTGTTTTTTATATATGTGTGTATATATATATATATATACACACACACACACACACATACACACACACACACACAGTAGCTTATCTAACAGCTTTTTTACAAAAGGCTAGGCCCTGAATTCTCCCTGCCACTGAAACACTGAAACAYGTGGAAATAAATTTTGGCCATTGGTTCTCTGTTATCAGTCTATCTCAAACAAAAAAACTGCTCCAACTGTTCAACCTCTAGAATTTAAAATGTGATTTAGGTCAATGGACTATTTAGTTGCATCCACTAATTTACTATTTTAGTTTTATTTCTATGATTCAATAAACTTTTCAGCCTACAAAGAATAAATATGATTTCTATCTAGCTGTAGTACATGTCATAGTGTATTTGGCTGTCTGTCTTACGCTAAAACAAAGCAACATGAAGAAAAACACCTAAACATCRTTTTTATGCCTTATCTCAAACCAAAATTTAATTCTTACTGTTTCAGGTGGCTGGTGTAATGAAAACCTCTCTACTATCTTCTTCAGCAGCTTGTAATCCTGCTTTGTTTCTCACTGTGCCCAAGAGCCTATGTACACTACTGCCTTTCTCTAAAACACACTYCGCACCAAAGAAAAGAACTTTGAAATTGTTTTTGCTATGTACATCTTTTCTACGTAACTGTTGATGTAAAAACACTGGCATTCTCTTCAGTAAAGGACTATTATATTAAACAAGAAACAGATGGAAAAGCTACTTGAAAGATAATCATTAACTTGGTAAGTGAACCACAGTGAAGTTCCTGATTCATTTTGGTAGTTTTGGGAACACTTTGGGCCAGATTGAAGCCAATTTATACCAGATGACATTAAGTTTTGACAATTCACACCAGCTGAGGAACCAGCCCATTAGGACTACAAAATTATATATAAGAGAGCAAAAACTAGTGATTTGTTAGAACTCTTGGCACATCTAAGTCCAAAAGTTGCCGTGGCATCAAAAAATGTAAACTTTAGTGCAATGAGGCTTTCTCTTCACTAAAATTTGTCCAGTTTACATTTATGAGAATAATTTTTTTCAGCTTCTGAATCACCAATATCCATTTGGAATGACTGACACTTACTAGGTTCATAGTAATCCACTATAGTCACTGAGGCGCCCTGGGTATTCGCCACTTTGAAGTCTCTCACAGCTGGAATATCCACACAAACGTGTGTTTCATTTAGCTAGAAAAACAGAAAAGAAACATCCTGAGAACCCTAGTGATGGTGGTTTCATGGAAGAAGGAAGGACGTGGTATTTGATGGTAGACCCAACCTCATTTCTAAAAGTTTAGAGTCTGGATAAATATGCTTATTTCATGTGTTATCATTTTGGCCAGAATAGAGACGTTTTCAAAGTCCCTATTGTACTACTTGTACATGATTATATAAGAGGTGCAATTGAAAATCTTTTACAGATGCAAATGAGTTGTATATATGCAGTCAACCTCATTAAAAAAAAGTGGAACTATTCACTCAATGTGAATAGCAGATGGTGAATTCCCCAAAGAACATAATCAGGATGTCTTTCTAAAATTAATTCAAACAATGATCGAGTCAGGATTAGCATCACTGCAAATACRTTTTTTTTTCCACTATTTTCAACTTACGGAGTCCAAGTATAGGTTGACTTTTCCATTGTCCTTTTCCATCTTCTTAATTTTTTTGTCTAATGGAATGAAATCTGGTGACACAGAGAAACCATTGAGTAAGCCGACCTCCATAAGAGCCATACCACTACTAGAAGCTGCACCAGAAGCCAGGTACCTTTTCAAAACATAGACAAGGAACTTTTAATAGAAATACAACAGTTCTCTATCCAAATAAACTCTTTCATTATTAAAACTCAACAATGGAAGGGATAAAATTAAGAATACTTAAAAATAAACGGAAAAAATGCCATCAATAAAATTGCTAACGGTAAAAACCTAATAATTTATTTCTCTGTTACTCTGCCTCACAAGTTCAACCACATAGACTAAAGTAAGTACAGCATTGAGAAAACAGCAGTATAACAATCATATGGGACATAACCCTGAACACACTCACACCAATAGGATCCCTTCCATTGGCAYTTATAAGTGTAGGTTTACATTATATATATGCAAGATCAAAACTGAATGCGCATTTTGAAAAAGATAACTCAGAAACCATGCTAGGAAATCTTGAACTGCAACATTCATAYGGATGCATTCTTTAGTTTGCTTTTATTCATTTTTAGAGAGCAAGATAAAAGTATAAACCAAAAAGCCTCCCAAACCTTTTCATATTTTCCAGATACAGACTGATGGTCCCCTTAACAGAGTCACCATTAGATTATTTCTCCAAATTTGGGTTTTAAAATGCATAGCCATGTTCTTTATCCAATTTTGGAAATAGAAGAACAATTAATAGACTTCCTTCATCTCTCCCAAATAATGCTTATTATCACATCTCCTTCTAAATTTTGGAGAATTAAATGCTGGCCCAAAGGCTTTACTCTATTAAGCAAGCCTACTATATCATGGTACACAACAGAGCTATCAAAATATATTTATGTCYTTCTATGCTATACATAACATTTATATGACCTGCAAAAGATTTTATTCTTTTAAATAAAGTAGATGGCAGAAAAGTTTTTTCCCCACTTGGCAACGACAGTAAATGACTATTGTTATACTAAAATAGCAGTGTCTCCAATCCGCATTTTGAATGTCTGACAGTAGTTGAAAGTAATTGAATAAAACTATTTCTTTGTAGAGTTGGCTGGTTTAAAAAAGGGGAAGACTTGCTTTCAAAGCAATGCTATTAAGCTTGGCAGCATGGCTGATTGAACACAGATAGGACTTTGAAAAAAATACAGCACAACTGCTGACTTCAGTTGGCTCACAAGATTAGAAACAAATGAAACCATCTGCTGGGTGATGTGCTGTGCCAAAGTAGCTGCTATTGAAAACAAATAACTGAATTGGAACTGGATGTAATTATATCTGTGTAATTACCAGTGAAAGATGAGAAAAATACCAAAGCTGTCTAGTGAACCTGAGGTACCACCAAAATACCAGCAGGTAACCCATCCAGTATGGCATTTCCAATAATTGAATGAGATATATACCTCAAAGTTATGAGGATCTGGCTCTCTAAATAAACAAGAGAGACTGCCTAGAGGGAGGGTCCTGATATTGTCTCTTTAACTCCAGCATTTCTTAAAAATAAAAAGCCATAAATAAAATAAATAAATAAATAAATAAAGGAGAGTGGTTAGTAAGAAAAAGAAGAAGCAAGAGTTGAAGCTTATATCTTAACAGAACTTAAGTTGCATTTTATGTTTCAGCATATCAACAGTATGAGGTCTGTATGTGACCCTCCCACTGATGGTGCAAAGATGAGAGAAATGTCAAGCATACAGAAGAGAGTCAGTAAAAGCATCAGCAACCAGTTTCTCATTGCTGGAAATGGTACGTAGGTGACAAAAAAAAACAGAGAAGAAAAGGACACTCCTGAGTACATGTTTCACAGACAGTGAGGCCACTCATCTAACCAAGAATCTGTTTAAATTCAAGAAGTCATCATATGCTCCCCTGTCAGAAACGCTACCCAGTTAAGAYGACCATTGTGAATCACTATCAAGCTGAGTGAAACAAAGTGGAATATTCTGTGGATTCAAGCAGGGATGACCAGTCTGCCAGGCCAAACAACCTGTGGCCAGATCTCATCCTACAGAACAGAAACACTAGAGTTGTTAGAATTAATGGCCCGCTTTCCAAACTACAGTTATTGATCTTGATATTCCAAATATTTTCCTGGGGTGGTTTTATAATGCTGTTAGTTCTTCCTCAGTCCTTTCAATAGTCTGCAATTAAAACAACAGCCTATAGCCTTCCAAAAGAGCAAAAGATAGATTCCTTCCTTCAGATTCCTGCATCAAAATTCTCGTCCAGAAAAAATGATCAGAATGCTCAGCCAAACTTATCCCAGGCCACTCGTGTAAGCCCTTTACATGTCAGAAGTTAGTCCTAAACTTTAAARACCTGTTGACACTTCATAGAAAACTCTAAAAGAGAGAAAAAAGTCTATTTCTATTCTAGGACCTCTGTGTGCTCTAGCGTCCCTGCCCACCATCTGTGTCACTGAACTGGTTACCAGAAACACATGCATGAAAACAGCATGGCTTTGTTCTTGATGGTTATTTCCCAAATTAAATCAATCCTCTCTGTACTGACATCGTATTCATTACAGTTGATTATTTGCACGACGGTGTCACCTAGAGGCCCCAAATCCAGTCACAGCTTCCTTGTGTTAGGCAGAGCATAATACATAGTCCTAGCAATAAGGAGTTTAAACTTTAAATAAATAACGGAGGATGTGGAGGAAAGGAATGAAAGAATAAACATGGTAGACCAGGTGGTACTTTGTAAATGTTGTGTTTACCAGGAACCCGTTATAGAGTCACAAGAAGAAAACAGTTATTCAAGAAGCAGCATTAGGGAAACACAGATATGATCATAAAATACAAAGAGTCTATTCACCTCAATATCCAATATCTTTGTASATAACAAGATAAAATAGACATAATTTAGATGAAAATCTTCTCAGAAGCACCCCTGCAACCTCCATTCCCATCAACAGAAAGTACAGAATTAGATTGACCTGAAAACTCATCAACCCTTTCAAGATTGGTACCCATATTTTGTTACTGAAATCATAAATATAAACACAGAGTAAAGCAAAGCTTAGCTGAATATGTTATTATGCAGACGTGGATTTTGACCCAGAGGCCTATGTGTTCCAYGATCTTTAATGCATGCCAATAAAAAACCATGGCTGACTACTGACAACTCTGCACAAGAGATCTGTTGGAGCCATCAAACAACAGTATTTATTTACCTACGATTTGCTTCTTTGTTTAATTATTGTTGCTTTTTAAAAAGTAATTATTTTGCTCTGATGAGTTACATGCTTAGATCCAGGGCACTAGTAAATCTGCATAAACAAATGGAAAATTTAGCTCATCTTTATACATATAAAAGCTGCATAGATAGAGAGATACATGAGATAGCCTCAGTTGAATTACCTACCTTGTGCACACATTCACAGTCAAATGGTTGATATCATCCTTGTTATCTTTTACATCAACATTCAAGTCAAAGGCTTCTTGGTTTTGAACAGATTTGAGCCTCTGATCAGTGTGTTTTGTGTTGTAAATAACATTGAGCTGTGGATTACAAATAAAGACATTAGGTGACTATGCAAGGCAAAAGTATGTGGTCAAGAATAYTAAGTTTGTAGCAGTAGAACTCCAGAGAGATGATCAATAACAAGAGGAGGATATAACGCCCTTCCTAACAGCTAGACAAACGAGACTCATATGAAGTCTCAGGAAAAAAAAATGTACTTTCTGAGCACTTTGTAATGCAGCAGTAACAATACAATTAGCAGAATGCAGATGAGGCAAAAACAAAAAGTTGTAGGAGATGCAGTAATTTTTCTCCTAGTTGTTTTCCGCTGGTTTACARTATATGCAGCTACTTCCTGTCAGCATGAAACAGGATGAAGGAAGACTTCAGAGAGCGATACCTACTGGGTTAAAAAGAACGACTGAATATGACAGAAATGCAAGAGCAAATACATAGCGTATGCACAGAACTGGTCTTCAGCCATGATGTCACAGCACTCCTCATACATTCAAAACAGATGAGGAACAGCATGTTACTCCAAGCTCAAAGCAATACTGTTGTTATGCACTAATTAAATAGATTCATCTTCTGGTTCATTTGTAGCAAAGACAAACTACAGGCCTTTGACTGCCTTAAGGACAGAGCTCTCACCCTTTCCGTTCAACAAATGCCAACCGCTGCTAACCAAGCCAAAGAAGAATGTAGGACAGGCTTACAGATTTTGTAACACTCATAAAATAGGCACATCTATTAGACACAGTTTAAAGGGCTTCCTATTCTTTTAGTGTAGATGTGCAGAAGATGTTGGAAATGGATCTTATATCAAAATACCGGTMAAACCAGAAGCGCTTAAAGGTGTTCTGAATAACTAGGAGATAACTTGACTATCTTGACAACCTGTGAAACTATCAATGTTGACAGCCAAAGCGGAAATGCTGGATTTGGAACTCAGCAACCATGAGTACTCRCACATTATCACGCATAACATCACCCATAAACAACAGAGTAACAAAAAACAGGCTACACAACCCACAGAACTGAGGTAAAAACAGATGAATTATTACCTGCAGGTTTTCATTTAATAAAATTCCTTGGTATAAGACTGGAAGATAGCATTAGACATAAAATTATAAAAGAATTTGGGGAGGGGTGTAGAGAACTCCAGATATCAGGTAAACTCAGTATCTGTACTAGAAAACATGGTAAAATCAAAATAGTGGACATATGAGTAAACATGATATATTGGAGATAGCTCATTGTTATAAATCTACCAAAGTTGATTGAATTAAGTAAATGAAAGCATGAAAAAGGGAGCTCTACTGAATATAAATTCTCTGCATATCCAACAGTCAAAACGGTGGTTGGCAAGTGCCAACTGAGAGTTCTGGAAGAAAATAAGCTTTCAAGGAACAAAGGAATGTTAAAAGTCAAGAACAGAAGGCAGAAATGAATGTTCAGATATGAAATGACTAGAGACCTAAAAGAACTTTGGTGCCACTAGATGCTAGATGACACTTGATAAACATATCATAAACATTAATCGTAGAATCATAGAATCCTTAAGGTTGGAAGGGACCTTTAGAGATCATCTAGTCCAACCCGCAGGTTCACCTACAGCATGTGGCACAGGGTGGCATCCAAGCGGGTTTTGAAGATCGCCAGAGAAGGAGACTCCACAACCTCTCTTGGCAACCTGTTCTAGTGTCACCCTCACTGTTGAGGGTGAATACTGGCATGATAAGGTTTGGTGATTAGACTAATTTATTTGAGMTGACAAAGATGAGAATTACTGCAAAGAGCTGCAGAATAATGTGATTTTTAATGACTATTACAGTACCGGAACGAGATCAAAGTTGAATCTCTTGCCCTATGAAAATATAATTTCCATGTTTAGCAATGATCATAAAACTGAATAAAATTTTGAGAGCCATTAAGAAGCATAGACCAAAAAAAAAGCTAGAAAGATCTAGCCTCCATCTCAAAAAACGTATGGTGGAATAATAATGAGATGGAGAAAGTTGATTTAGATGATCAAAGACAAAGAATAGCTTCCAAATAGATGAAAAAAAAATCAGACATGAAAAGGTAAGTAGGAAGAAAGATTCAGTAATGACAAGAATGATAAAATAGTGATATAGTGAGCAAAACAGTAGAATGGAGAAGATGAACAAGAAATTGTTCTTCATGCAATACAAGATTACACTATATAATTGCTTCCCACAAGATGCTGCAGATGTTAAGTKTACACAAGTCCAAGGACAAAATAGATAAGTTCATGGAAATCAACTGAAATTTGCTAAGTACACCAAAACAATCCCCAGCCAAAGATCTTGGATAATAAATARCAGGAGGTGGAAATGACAGTCAAAATATGTTATCTATGTTTACATTCTCTTTTTGGTATCCACTTTGGGTTATAGCTGAAAGCAGAACACTGGGCTCTTCTTCAACCCACCACAGTCTCTCTTAGACCCTATCTCCAGATATATGTTAGGAGACTAGATTCAAGATGAACAAGGGGTAGTCTGTCTTCATTCAATGCATCATTAGCATAGAATTACTTGCCAAAAGAAGCTGTAGTTAAAAATTTAGAAAATTCAGAGTGCCATATTCATGGAATAAAATTCTAACATGGAAAAATCTGTTAGCCCAGAGATGGCACCAACTGATGACCTGTGGTTTGGAAGGCCCTGTTTCACAGACCAGCCAAGGGCAGGAGGTGTAACTACATGCTTGTCACAGAATCACAGAATGCTCAAGCAGGCACACCTAGAGCATGTGACACAGGGCAGCATCCAGGTGGGTTTGGAAGACCTCCAGAGAAGGAGACTCCACAACCTCCCTGGGCAGCCTGTTCTAGGCCTCTGTCACCCTCACAGTGAAGAAGTTCCTCCTCATCTGGAGATGGAACTGCCTGTGTTTCAACTTACACCCATTTCTTCTTGTCCTGTCACTGGCCACCACTGAGAAGAGCTTGGCCCCTTCCTCCCTACATTCTCCCTTCATATACTTATACATGTTAATCATATCCCCTCTCAGCTTTCTCTTCTCAAAGCTGAACAGGCCCAACTCAGTCTCTCCTCATACGAGAGATGTTCCATTCCCTTAATCATTGTTGTCGCTCCCTGCTGGACCCTCTCTAGGAGCTCCACATCCCTCTTATACTGGGGAGCCCACAACTGCCCCCAATACTCCAGGTGCGGCCTCACCAGAGCTGAGGAGAGGGGCAGGATCCCCTCCCTCCACCTGCTGGAAACATCCTCCTGATGCAGCCAGGATCCCATTGGCCTTCTTGGCCACAAGGGCACTGCTGCTTCGTGGTTCGCTTGGTGTCCACCAGGGCTCCCAGGTCCCTCTTTGCGGAGCTGCTTTCCAGCAGGTCGACCCCTAATCTGTCCTGGTGCCTGGGGTTATTCCTCCTGAGAGGCAGGCCCCTGCACTTGTCCTTATTGAACCTCATGAGGTTCCTCTCTGCCCAACTCTCCAGCCTGTCCAGGTCCCTCTGGATGGCAGCACAGCCCTCTGGAGTGTCGGCCACTCCACCCAGCTTGGTGTCATTTGCAAACTTGCTCAGGTTGCCGTCTGTGCCCTCGTCCAGGTCACTGATGAACAGGCTGAGCAGCACTGGGCCCAGCACTGACCCCTGGGGAACACCACTGGCCACAGGCCTGCAATTGGACTCGGCCCCATTTATTACCACCCTCTGAGCTCTGCCATCCAGCCAGTTCTCAATCCACCTCGTCCTGCTCTTGCAGCCTGCCTTGGGCATCTTTTTTCTGTTGGCCATGACAGGGTAGAGGATAACAAATTGTATCAGTTGTCCCTGGATGTCTATTCTCACGTTCATGTGGTTTCACACCCAAAAGATGTTGAGAGTGAAATTTAACTGTGAGAAAATATTCTTACTCTGATTAACACCACTCCGTTATAACAGGACAAAATGCCTGCTGAGGACAAGAGATTGAGTTACTGACTCAGCATACCAGTGAGAAAACTTTAATTTTAGAGTGACAAAACCAAATACAATAAACTACGAAAATATCTACTATCAAAGATTAGCTGCCATTTGTTTGGCAGAATTGTGATTTTTGTCAACAACAGAATAGTAAGTTTGCATAAATAAACTCCATCATTATCTGTTCTCTTAGTCATTACGATAGAACACTAAGAGGGGGAAAAAACTTCTTCAGCTTTGGAAGGAAAATAATCAGAGTGTGGCTCAAATAACACTTGCCCAGCAAGACCCCAGTTTGTACTTCAACTAATGAAAAGAGAATGTAGGATATTTCTTGAAAATCACAGTCCCTTTAGAAGAGTTCCAGACAGCAAATGGAAAACTGTCAGACCAAATTTAGAGGTACAGCAGGGGGGAGCCCAACTTACACACTAGCAAGTCAGTGCAAAGTGTCTTTTAATATCTTATTCTGCTTTCTGCTGCCACGTCTCTGTCTCCTTGATAGGAAAGTTATGCCCTGTATTTCAGTCTACAGTTACTAACTCCCATCACCCTGCCTAGCATTTCTGAATTTTACATAGAGTATGTATAGAGCCAATTTTGTATAGACAGAGCAATAGTGGTGTGGTGGTGAGGACTTACCCATATAACTGTCCTGCAGAAAGGAGTACCAAGCAAGTCTAGAAGTCTACCAATTAAAGGCCTGCAGGAAGTTTGGTAAAGGGAAGCTGGCAATGCCCTCACAATTTGCCATCACGAAAGCAAAATTGTTTTAACTTTTTTCCAGAAAAAAAAGCAACACAGATAAGAATTTACTGCCAATGTGCAACATGTGAAACTATATATCGAAAAGGTCAAGCAGGTACTACTTTCAAGGAATAAGTTGTTAAGTGGAAACTTTCTTATCCTGATTTCTCATGACAAAAAAAAAAAAAAAAGAGGTTTTTTTTTTACAGTGCTACAAAGCAAAGATTTCAATTAAAAAATTCTTTCTTAGCAACTGCAATTCCTCTAATCAATGTGAAAAACTGAACATGTAGTCCTCTAATCAATGCCTCTTTCCTGTCCATTTTGTTCTTTGACTAGCAATGTAAATATGCTTAACTGAGGACTTGAGTTCAGTGAAATATTTTCAGCAGATTCTTCCTCTCTCTTTTCCTATCCCTTTTTGACTAGTTAGTATCCACTCAAAAACTGCAATGGAGAAATACATAGCCATTTCACAGTATATCTTTTTTAGTACCATCACACTAGCACTTGATCCTTTATTTAAGTCTAGTGAAAAAGAAAGCTTCAGTGAAAGAAAAGATCAGTACTTTTCACTAGTTAGCAACAGGTGATTCTCTTCTCGGGTTCTTTTTCACACCTTCCACCATCAAAGATATAGTCTATGCCCACTGTTTTCCTCTGTCATTTGAGAACTGCCCTTTCAGCTGTCACTGAACATATGAACTGTGTCTATTATGAAAGGGGGTGGCAGAGAATTGAGTGTTATCAGCCAACAAACCCTGACAAAGAGAGAGATACTCCTCTCTCCAGAGAGCCTTTTATATGCAACCAGGCGGTCCAAAAGATCTTGCCCAAYCAATCTACTTTGCCCACAGACATCCTCCTTGATCCTGCCAGCCCTCCACTCACCAGAGCCCTAGATTTCAGTAGCACMCTCCTTTGTCCCAGGCCATGCACTGGCCAAGCCAAGCCTACAGTTCAGCCAGTTAACAGATATTTCTTCCAAGACTTCCAGCAGGCCACATAGAGAAGATGTCTTATTTCACTCCTTTTTCTACAGGGTCCCTTTCTTATATTCTACCCCTAAAGCTATGCCCTCCTTCTCCTTGCAGAATCAGTATCTTAAAATAGTGTCTGTCCTCATAATGAAGGGACAAGCTAGGAGACTTTGTTGACAGCAGGACCACAAAACTACAAATAAATGTTTGCTTTCGCAGTGATACTGTCCAAAATAAATATATTTGATAAGATCCTGCAGGGTTGTGAGTTAACACACAGCCAACTCGTACACACAGGCAAGAGTTTTCATAAAAAACAATTTAAACTAGAATCCATTCTGTTGGGAAAAGCTTTTCCATTAATGGACTGAATCTTGTGTGTTGTGATATTTAAATGAATTACTGTTTCAACATGCTACATCTGGCTAGAAAGTCAAATCCCAGAACAGTGAATTTCACCACTGTACTTTGGCGGGTGTAACACAATGAAACACAGCTGAAGAAATGTGCTTGCAATGTCGTATGCTATCTGATTTATTAAATGAGACCCAGATCTAGCTTGTCTTTGTGAAAAAGAAAAATCTAATTCAAATGGCATCAGTGCTCTTTCTTTAGAATAGCAGACCTGCCAAAGGAAGCAGATGGAAAGAGATGGTCCCACCTAAGAAAAGTTTTTGGAGAAACTACAACTCTATGTTAAGTACAATATTTGGAGACAAGTCATAGCATTTCTGCCTCAGAGCTACTGGAGAAAACACAACAGCACAGTGACTTAAATGAAGTAGATAACTGGTGTTCAGAAATCAATGCCAGGTTATGTGTGAATGACACCACATGTTAGAACTGTAYAACAAATCAGGAACTTACACCTGAGGAGCCCTCTAACCACTAGGTTAAGTACTGGATATTCTGTGTACAAGAACTCAGCTAGGTCTTCCAGACAGACCGATTTGGATGTGAAATTTGCCTATTGGCAGAAGTTTAATTGAAATCAACACATTTCCACAGAAAACACTCATTTCAATAAATCATCATCATCCATTTCAATAAAGCATTTTCCAGCATGAAATAATTTGCTGAAAAGTTTCTGATTCACTCTCCTGACACATCAGTTGACTTAATATCAGGGAGTATTTTTCAACAATGATTAAGTTTAAGCAGTCTTAACTGTTCTGGAACCCCAGTCTGCTAGACTTCATACACACATGCATGCACACTTTGAAATTAAACATGTGCAAATGCAGTCTTGCTGAAGTGTTCGTTCCTATTTTGGCCAAGGAGTTTGAATCTAAAATATACTCAAGTATTTGAACTTTCCTGCAAATGTCATTTGCACTTCTGGGAATGAATAAATTATGATAATCATTTATGTCACTGTAGGTTTTGCAGACTGGTACTGAATAAACGAGGTGTATTGGTAGCTGCTGTTCATTGCTAACAGGTAGTTGTGAAAGTTTCTTTGGAAAGGTTCTTATCCAAGAGGGTACTTACTAAATTCCTCCTTTTTTGTCCCTCAAGAGAATTGAAGCAAAGGTCAGATCAGAAAAATTTAAAATTGAATCTGATCTGGTTTAAAACTTTGAGTGCGTTAAGGTGGCCTAAATTCTGTTTTCCCAAATATGAACAGTAGACAGTTACCAGGAACTCTGCCCTGTTTTGTGATGTACTCAGCAATTATCTGTTTATCTATATACTTGTAAAAAAAAAAAAAAAAAAAAAGTCTGCCATGCTTATCAGAGACTAGTATTTCCATGTCATCTGTTTCTATAGCTTTTCAAATGCCTTTTCTTTCACCCATTTGGCTCTAAGCCACTGTTATCAACAGGAGGAAAGGTAAGAGAGACCCACTAGTGATCTTATAAATCTGATCCAGTATTGTCTTCTTCTCATATTATATTTCCCAAGTGTTACTGTAAAATCTTGAAGAACAGTTTTCTTCAGGACATAAGCTCTGTTACTGGTGAAAGATAGGAGTTGAAAAGCATAAAAGAGCTATTTACTGCTTGCTCATTCCAAAGACAACATGTACTGATCACAGATTAATTTGTTTAACTGAAATAAAGATGCTGGAATTTTTACCCCTGACACACAGGACTGCCAGAGAGGAGATCATGACACCCTTTCAGGCTTCCCATTCCCACAATTTGACTGATCCTGAGCATCCACTTTTAGCAAGTTTCAATAACTTTTTTATTGTCCTTTATACTCTTTCATGCCTTTTTCATATATATTTGTGATTGTACCATTTCAGAGTAGCATAAAAATTGCTGGAAATCCAGTCATCTTCATTTTTAGCTTTTGCATTGTTTTATTCTACTTCATTAAAAGGAAAATAACTCTAAATAACTAACAATGCCATTATGTTCTGTGCCCTGCCAGGGCTTATTTCAGGAGCTAATGAGACTTTTCTGCCTTGTCCACACAAACTTTGGACTATCATGCCAATGCACTACTACATTTCTACAGGAGGATAGGCTTATAACTGACCCATGGAAGTGCCCCAAAACCATCACTCAGCCAACAGTACTTAAAATGTTGAACTATTTGAGATACACAATCACACAGATGTGAAATTTGTACATTTACACAAAATTTGGTTTATTTTTTTTAAATTACAGTACTTTGCTATTGTTTTAAGACAAGATGTTYTACAGATGTTTTAGTTATTAATATTTTTATAAAGCTTTCTATTAAAGTAAACCTTCCTTACAGAGAACATAGCTTTAGAAATAACAACTCTATTGCATACCTGAAAGATAGCAAATCCAATCCCCTCAGCTGAAACTGTAACAGTCATAGGTTGCACAGGCACAAGCTAAAAGAAAGACAAAGGAGTTAAACAGTAATTTCAAGAAGAYACTTTCAGGCACAAACTTTACTCACTTTCTACAGTACCTCCTTGGTCTGAAGTAGAAAACGGTTTCGAGTATCAATTGAAAATGTTTCTGGAATTTTCAACGTAGGTGCTGTTACAGTAACATCAATCTCAGTCTTGCTGGTGGCAGTAATAGATGCAAATAGACTCAAGGCTTGCAGAGCCACTACAGTGTCCTGTTGAGAGAAATAAGTGCTTCTGTATTAAACACAGCTCTGCACACCACATGACAGGCAATCCTTGCTGGAGTCTGTCTAAACACTCATACTGGATTTGTTTAAATAAGCTGGGCTTGAACAAACATAATCGAGTCAGCTCAACTGCTCAGCTTGGACACTTTAATCAGGTCTAAGAAAATCCATGCAATTAAATTTATTACTTCAATTTAATCAAACCAGGTTATCACCAGTTTTTTAGTGAAATATGTGTGTATAGCCATGTGTTTGGCCCTTCTTTTTTAGTCCCAGTTTTCTCCCATCTGTTGATTGTGTTGGGAGTTTTCAAGCACCCACATGTCCATTGCTATTTCACTAGCCCAAAGGATTCCAAAGCAGAAGAGGGACAATAACATAGTACAGAAATTAAGATAGATACAGACTCAGGTAATACAGAATGAGATGGGAGCTTGCTAAGGAACTCTTCCATTTGTGTGAGATGTGGAAGACCTGACAGGCAACAGCCTAGATGCAACAGCCTGAATCACATCCCACCCAGTGTGTGAGGAAAGCAATGATTCTATTTTCTATTTTCTACGTTTACACAGGGACTAAGTGTAAGTAATATCCAGCATTTCATAGTATTTTTTCAGGGTACCTTGATCACTGGAGCAAAAGATACAGGTCTGAAAAGTAGTAGTGTTTATAAGAATTCCTGAAACCATTTCTTATTGGCCCTATGGCAAAAAAATTGAAGGGAATTCAGCCAAGTTTTTATCCTTTGTATTTGAATCTGAGATTTTGTACAATCATACCACCGCAGAATGTGTTTATAAACACAGTATCATACCTACCCACAAATTCTCTTTTGTTTATTTTTGTGTACAGCTGCAGGCTTAGAGTATTTGATCATTAGAGGCAGTTTTTGAATCTTTGATCCAGCACAGTTCAGTGAATGAGAATTTTAACACCTAGTATTTTCTAGGGGGAAAAAATGCAGTAATTCTAGGTCTGTATTGCTTCCCAGGAATTTTTGTTTGTTTATTTCATTTGTCACTTTTCTTAACCCATGGCAATGAAGTAATGGGCCTTGCAGGCTCAGCATTTAGAGGTGATTTATTCACTTTTACRTCATTCTTAGTAACAAGATTCTAAGGTGACAGTAATGTTCATTAACTGTGACTATGCCATACCACAGTGTAGCAGGACGTGCTGCCTATTCACTCTAAATGAGTAGAAACCAGTATYTGAATGATTAGAAACTACTCTTTCCTGTACCATGCCCTCTTCCAAGATGACCTGCTTCATTGATTTCGTAAAATCTATAAACTGCACATGATTGAGATGATCAGCAACATTGCAAAGCGGTACCCTGAACCACTATGGCTGGGATTATCCTGACTCCAGTGCTTAGCATGGTGTGGCAGAATAGATACACCTGAAAGATCTCAGAAATATTTAACATTCTGGACAAACTAGCAGATTTTCCTGTAAGCAGCCAATATTTGCTCCTACAAGGAAGCCTTACTCTTATACTTGCAGATGCTGACTCCTTTACAGAAGGCAATGGCAAAACAAAATGATTCTGCCCTATTCTGGGAACTCGTATGTCATTCCTGCCAAAGATGTGTGGCTTGGAAGCCCAAAATTTCAAAACTTCTTTCACATTGGAATTAAAGAAACTACAGTGCTCTACCACATCTGTATAGATCGGATCTATGTTAAAGATCTAAACAGATATAAGATCTTCTTGGAGAATCTAATTTTAATGATCTGAAAATAGAAATATACCTGCACTTACCTAAGCTGGTGACTCCGAGGWATATCTTGAAGTGTCTTTTCCAAATCCTTACAATCACACTTCTCACAGTTTAGATTTATCTCCCTGATTTCAGCCAAAGTACAAAAAGTCTAGAAATCCTATTTGCCCTTGCAGAAGATGACTTTGGGTCTTTTCTCCTGTCTTAGGCTTCTACAACTCTGCTGGGCACTTATAAAGATGATAAATGTGCCCTTTGGCATGCTCTGCAATAGAAGGCACACCCTAGATTTTCCCACAAGGAAACGTTAACTGCTGAAGCACAAGGAACAAGACTAGTCAAGGCAATATTACATCAAATATACTACTTGAAAAGTTAGGGAATATGGTTTCAAGTCATGTCTATAAGTCCCTCTATGAGAGGTTCTTCCCTGTTATTTAAATTTGCATTCATATGTTACTTTTCTGTATGTGTGTATATCTGTATGTAYGAAATGTGCACATTTTATGCATAGACATGAAAAATATTATAAAGCAAAATATTCTGACTGCAAATTCACAGTAATCTATACTAGTTACATAATTTACAATGAATTATGGTATGGTACCCTAGCTTAGAAAATATCACACATGCCACTGATTACTTTTCGTTTTACTGTTTAAAAACATATGAAGTTTATAATATAAYGAAGTAATGCAAGAAAATACTTCAAACAATTTCTTAAAGCAATTTTAGAAGATAACAAAAAGTATGTGACCATTTCCACAAGTAAAAAAACAAAAAGGCACCCACAGACATATTTGGAGCAATTTTGAAAGCAAAATAGTTTAGATTATAGATGACTAAAAGGATTAGATTCATTTRCTAACTTCACCCTTGGTGCACTGGCAGATTTCCAAACTTTCAAGTAAAAATATTTTCTGAAGAATAAAGAGAATCTTTATTCTCTTTATTTAAACCTTTGGCCCACTTAGTGCTTCAATTAAGTCTTTCAAATAATAAGCAAGAATTAAGACATTAAGAAAATATTGGAATCTCAGGGAAGCTATGCTAGTTCCCAAATGGCCCTTCATTTCACAGAACTAATCTCTCTTAGATTAATGTGACTTTTGAAAATAATTAAGAATAGCCTGTATAGCTTGSTACCAAGCAGTATGATGAGATGTGACATTTTATTGTGACCAGCATTTGTAGTTAATTTAAAAGCTAACTTGAACTAATGCAATCCAAATCACTATATGAATTCTTTGCATGCCAGCACAGCTTACATGATGTGATTTCAACAATATGGAAACCTCCTGGAGATGATAAAGATCTCCCAAATTTCATGGTCCATCAAAAGTTTACGTAACAATGAGGACATAGTACATACTTAGCTGAGACCAACTGTCAACAGAGACACTGGCATAGACTGTTCATCTAAAACTTCACTTTCTTATCTCAGCTAATAGCATTTTAGGAGTTCAGGGACACACATATGGAAAGAATAGAAATAAGTTTCTGTTCTTGGAAGAAAAGTAAGAAATGTTTATCACATTTGCTTGGAAAATAGCTTTCACCATTTTTCCATAGGAATCTCTTCTTCTTACTTTTAGGTCTTTCCAATTAATATTTTAAATAATTAAGGTGATTCTCTGGTTCTTGATTACACTTGTCAACTTACTAAAATTTTAGTCCACATTTAAGAAGCCAATCCTGCAAGAATACAAGCACGCACTTAACCCAGGCTGTTACAGAAAAACAAATCCCTATACTTCTTATTTACAACCAAATGTGCTCTCTCTCTCTTTTTTTTTTTTTTTTTTTTTCTTAATAAAATCTAGCACTCATTTGGAAAGTGTAACTATTCAGGCATAATATTACCTGAGTAGATGAAAATCCTCCAAGGTGATTTCTTTGTTGACTTAACCATTTCATAACTGGGATCCCCTCTGCTAATCTGTTTTGATGAAAGTGTGAGAGCAAAGCATATGCTGCAAGTTCAATATCAATGGAGCGTGGCTGCCATGAATCAGAAATTTCAGAAGCAGGTGTTACCCAGAAACGAAATTCACCTGAAAAAAGAATTATAATACAATCAGATCCACAGCCTGAAGCCTTTGGTCTTCCAGGAAAAAATAGAGGGAATCCTCTTGATTTTTGCTTTATTTTGGGATCTAGCAAGTTTCTCTAAACTTTATGCGCATTGCCAGTAAAGGGTTTACTTTAGCCCTTCCTCAGAAGTGGATGAATCCAGATAAAAAGAAAGCTGGGGTCCAAATAGCAATTCCTTTTGATTTCAGATAAGCTTTTGTTGTCATCCTCAAGTACCATATAAACTAGCTTTTGTGAAAAAGCCAACTCATTGCTGGGGTACTCCTTTCTCTCCAGTGCTAGAGAGGGAGCTCCGGACAACAAGACTGCATCCTGGACTTATTTTTCCTTAATGTATGAATCCTCCCTTCCCAAAAGTGACCTTCCAAAAAGTCCAATTCAGTAAACACAGAGGGACACTGGAAAAGCTTGGGTTCTAAGCTAGAAAATARATTGTTTCAGATTTTTCAAGAGGATGGTTATAATGTAACCAACAATCTGATTTTTTTTATATTGCATGTCATCTGTTTTATTTTTTCCTTCCTAAATCAAGGAGAATAACTTAGTTGTGCTGAACTCAAAAGAGGTTAAACATCACAATAGGGGTCACGAAAGAAAACCTAAAGAACAGATCTTTGTATTAGCTTACTTAAAGTCCAGTCCTTCATTTTTCTATTCTTACACTGATTTCCACTCAACATTACCCACCAATTTCCTGAACTATCAGAACCTTTTAGAACAGTAGAACTCATACACATAATAACATAGTAAAACACAGAAGTAATGTTTTCCAACATCCTTGCACTACTAATATGAGGAGCACTGTATGACTTAAAGCCCTAACTTTTTCTGAGAATTCATTCATCTATAGTCACTTTTTGTTAAGGTTTTCTTAGAAGTTTTCAGCCTATTCAATTTGTCATGCTCAGAACACTTCTGAATTCAGAACTAAGATCTTCTTTGTCTCTACTTCTATATGTAGGTATGGTGTATGATATATATTTTCAAAATCAAGGACAAAACACCTCTACAGTGGTATAAGATTGTTGTGCAATACCTTCTTGTTCTGCTCTCTGGTTTAATATATTCAGGGCTTCCTTTGCTTTTGTACTTTTTGCCCTTGACAATGCATATGTCACAAGTGCCAAAGTATAATTATCCAAAATGCCTTCTTCTAATTCTTCTTCTAGAAAGTTTGTGGCACGTCTGATTGCATCAATATGCTGGAAATAAAAATGATATTGAAAAACGTACAGTCAATAATATATATAAAGAGAGAGTAATATATTCTAAAAGAAAGCAGAACAAAAATATCACTGTCTTCTAGCAATAACCAAGAAATACTAAGAATTTCTTTTAGAGTCACACACAGGACATCAAAGGCAAACATTCTGATCTGGCACTGTCTCATAAGAATATGAATAATATGACTTAAATCAATTGGAATGATTTGGCATCTCTAAGGATAGCTTCCCCCCTAAATTGCTTTCAAAATTCTTGGACCAAAGCTATGACAATACTTTTGCTACAAACAACGACTTTTAGCTTTTGCAGAAGTACRTAAAACTGGATGGTCTCCAATCACAAGTCTTTGCTGTAGATAGGCCAAAGTACAGGGAATTTTACCCAAGACAGGTTGAATTTGGGGTCTATTCAGAAGTTCCTCTATTTCCTTAGACTATAAAGCGTTTGCCAGGTAGTATGACAAATTATGAAGTATTCCAGTAATTATATTACTCAAGAAATCCAGTACCTGTTTATCTGGAAACTCCAGCAGGGATGACATGATGTAAGCTGTTAGAGTGACTAGATTATTGTTGCCTCCTTGAAGGTCACTCTGTATCACTTTGCCAGGCTCCTGAAATTCTCCATTTAATTTCTGATGCTGGACAAGCCACTTAGCTGTATCCACAAGTACATTTGCATCAATATCTATGAATGGACGAGCTTGAAGGAAACATCTTAATACAAAAGCTGTTAACCTTAGGGGAAAAGGTTAATTGAACACAGAAAATTAACACCACATTACAGTGTCCTCTGCTTAACATGATTTAAGATGTAGTTATGCCATACACATCTTCCAAGCACAGAGGAAAANAAAAAAAAAAAAAAAAAAAAAAAAAAAAAGAGGCTAATCTTAATCTCAAAAAATGAAGTTATTTCGTTGTTACCAAAAATCATTAACAGCCTTTTCAGCTGTTAGCATTTAAAAAATTAGTTACAGACTGTAGGTTCCCAAACTTAACATAAATATTTATCTTTATTCAAATATTGTTCTCATGACTTCTGCTGCAAGACTGTAATTTGTAAATCATAATTTACAAAGTAATATATTTATGAGTATGATCTTTCCTAGGATCATTCTCCCCATAATCTCATCACCAGAACAACTCTTGTTGCTTTATTCATTTATAGTCTAAAATTCTGCCTTGACTGCCTTCCTTGCTAAATGCATATTCATGTAACCTGTCACTGCACTATTTAAATACCAAGGTTGATATATAAATATTTTTCTTCATTTTTCTTCATTTTCCAGTCTATTGAGTCCAAGGCAAATCCCACTAAAGTCAATGAAAGATGTTCACTGAAGTATTGACTGGATCAGTGACAGCAATTGGAATGTTTCTACTTACAGCCAATAATGTTTATTGAAATATATAAGTATATTTAAGCTCCTGGGTACTGTTTAAATCCACATGGGGAGTATCAGAGAACAAACTAATGTGTGTTTTAACAACTCGTAAGTTGTGGATTACCGAGAGACTGCAGTTGTGAATTAAATACCCAATCACAATTGCTCATACAGTTATAATCAAGTTTTCACCATTTTATTGTAGCAAGCAGCCAAATCTCAACTTTTCTTAACTTTTTTTCTTTTCTGATTTAGTTCTAGCTGAGCTATCCTCTCCAGCAAGACATCTTTAAGCATTTCACTCAGTGACTCCCATTTCTAAAAAATATCACTATTYATTCTTTGCAAAATTAAAAATCCTTGTCCTAATAATGGATTTGACAGCATATTATGTAGTAGAATGACCTTAAAAGTTGGCCTAAAGACCTAATGAAAACCAGTCAGAAGGCTAATATGGCTGGAATTTTTTACCAACTTCACAAAGATTTTAGTTGTAGGGAAAAATATCTAAAATGATCAAATTCCAAAGTGAATCTGGCAGAACTACTTACCATGTGCTCCCAGAGGAATCTTCATTTCCAAAGGCACTAAAGGAGCCATCATCCCTCTGGAAAAGAAGCTCTCTTTGGTAGCCTGAAGTGAAAAAGCAGATAAAGGCATTGAACGCATTCCTCTTACAGGGTTTCCAGTTCAAACTTTCTAATGGCAWGAAGCAAAGCACTTTCTGAGAAGAACAGAGGAACTTCAGTTCAAATTTCATAAATACCTTCCAAAGATGTAGGAAGAAATAAAACTGTGCAAAATACCACCAGTATGTAGCRGTAACATGAAGGATCTATCTACAAAAATCCAGACATGAGTGCAGCACACTGTGACACAGCCCCACATAGCTCAGTGGCTCCAGCAGCACAGCAGGGAGGGCAAACTGGAGTTACAGGCTTTAGTTCAGCACTTTGTTGCTTTGAGGAGCTTGTCACAAACATGCAGAAATGTTCCATCTTCCCAACACAAGCAGAGAGAAGTGAAAAATTAAATGTTTTCCAACTGAAAAGGCAAGAGTTCAGCAAACCTACAACTGCCACTGAAAAATATTCCCTTTTAGCATCCTGCCCCTTCAGAAATGAAAGGCACATGGTTAAGAGACATCTAAAGATTTTTTCAGTATCTAGAACAGCTGCAGTGTTTTACTGAGTGCTGAATATCTATAATAAAAGGACCACAAAAGCTTACTAGCTGCTCATGACCACTAACAGCATCCCTACTCAATAGTTTGCTTCAGTGCAGAACTGAAATTCAGTAATGTTAAAAGTGAAGGAATACCTAAGGCACGCTTATTACTGTGGGCTCTGATGCCTAAGACCTTCCCTCTCCTAYGTTTTCTTTGATTTGGCTTGCCACTTGCGCACCCAGGATAATAATGATACCTATTTCTAACATTTAACAAAACTTTATTCTTTCCTTTTTCCCTTTTGTTCCCTTAGTTTTGCTATTCTGATTATTATAATTAAGAAAGCATATTCATTAGTCTAATACCTGACAGTCACCAAGTACAAGCAGGCAAAAGGAAAAGCCTTAGGGAACATTTATTTTTAAAGACATTTACATCACTACAGAACTGTCTGAATATCTTTAGAAATTGGTCCCTGCAATGTCTTCCTCACATTCACTGACATATGGTTTATCACGTGTTTTTATACCACCCTCAGTATAGATAAGTGTGTGAATCACAGCCTTACTTACTGAGGAACAAATTACCTCATCATATGAAATGAACTTTTGTCATGGTCTCTCTCCTATAGGAAGCTATGAAGGTATAAAGATGTGAGTTTAATGCTACATTATACCAGCCCAGCTACCCATTCAAAATCTCATCGAAACAGTATCTAATTTAATTTTTGTCTTGTTAGAATAGTTAGAAATTACAACTTCCACATATACACAGTTGTTTTTTTAAGGTATTAGCATAAGTAAAGTGGTTATTTACATCATTAAAACCAGACAATCTTTCTCATACATAGAAATATCTTTAATCAAAGTTAAAGAGCTTGAAAAGTGAAGCACTGTTAAGTGGGAGGAAAAAAAGTCCAAATTAAGTAAGTGGCATTTCTCAACAAAGAAAGCAAAAAGTCACTATCAAAATTTTAGCCAAAGTAATATTTTGTGAGCAACACAAATATATGTATATGTACAAATAGTTTTCTTTTCAAAAATGCCTAAAAGTTGGGTTTCTTTTTCCTCACAGAACAGGGAGTACATAGAATTAAGGATTATCACCACCATCCCACTGGTAATGTGGAAGCACTTAACTAAGAGATAAATATATGTTGGCTTTTAGTAATTTTGGGGACGATCTCAAGATCGCCCAGAACCAGAAGGAAAACTGAATGATCACTCAGTTATTTCCTACAGCCTGCTTTCTTTTTAATGACAATTCTGTTGTTGTCACACAAAAATCGTCTAACATGAGTGGATCTAACACAGGATGGTCTGCAGAAATGCTGAAACAATAGATCTGAGGGGTGTGAACCACTGCATTCATTCCAATGGACACTCAATCAAAACTGAAAAATGATACTTCAAATGTCAACACATACAACTGGAAAGGCAGGGAAAAGAAGGATCCTATTATCAATATGTACCCCATCATTCCCAGAGGATGAGCTGAAATTAAGAGATGTCTATAGAGATGACTAGTTGAACAGAGGTAAAAGAGAATATGTCAGGAGGAAAGGACTTCAGTAACATGTGAAAGACTCATGGGGCTTTCATTTCAAATAACTGGAAAATACTTCAACCTCATTCCTTGCCTGAGTCTAGACTCCAAAGTTTTCACATCAACCAGTATTTTCTTTATTTCTTAAGAAGCAGTTTCAAAATAYTTAGCATTTTCCAAAATGCATAAAACTTTTCAAAAGCAACTTTTGTTTTGCTTTGCCTCATACAGAGATCAGAAATGTTTGTTTATGCAATTTAATCAAAGAACAGAGAGCAGTCTCTAAGRAATATTATAAGAATTACCTTCTAAAATGCAGCTTTCCTATAAAAAGTAATCATATAAAATTATTTTTTACTGAACAAAGTCAGAAACAAAATTGTTTGCACTTTAATTCTGTCAGCCCAGTTGAAAAAACTAGGGGAAAATGGACTTTTCTTCCAGTTCTCAGGACAGCAACAGAACAGTACTTCAAATACCAAATGCAAAGTTAGATATGTCTTTTACCAACATGTTCTTAAAAATCTAACATCTTTCTTCTCAGCATACATACCTTTTCTCATAAATGATATGGCTTTCGATTTAATATCTTCTCTGAGCTGCCTGGTTTTAGTCAGGTATTGCAGAACATAAACATTCGGAGCAAAATTGATCATATTCTGTTCACCGCAGCCATAAGGCATCTTAATCAATGATTCCAAACCATTGATAGAAGGCCCAAGTATATCACCTGAAAGATCAAATTAAAGCTTAGTGTAAATATGTACACATCAAAGGTGATGTCAGCTAAACTGGGAGAAAATATATTGGGAATGCAATACATTGGGAATACTTGCACTAAACACCACTAATCGTGCAGAAAACTGCATTAAACCTGAAAACTTCATCTTATGAGCTCTTTGTTAACTGATCTGTCTTCCCATATGCTTTTGGAAGGAGGCATTCCATAGAATCCTAGCAGATAGCAAACTTTATCTCAAAAAAATATACAATAATAGACAATACAGCTTCTTAGCAAATAATAGAGATAAAAACAGGATAAAACAATTCTTACCAATAACAGTGACCTGCACTCTCTCACTGCCACTTACTACATCAGAAGGAAAACTGAAATCCAACGTTTTTGACAATGTTTGCAGATTATTCCCAGTCAAATCCAAAAGAACTGTCTGAGAATAAATCTGTTCCAATCCTTCAGCCTATCAAAACAAACAGAGAGAATTATTGTAACCTTTTAAATGTAGTGCTGATTATTGTAACAGGATTATGGTAATTTTAACAGTTGCTTCTTTTAAGATGGGATTGTGTACTTGCTGTGCTGAGGGATTTAAAGCACTGTTGGATGTTTTGTGCTAGCTGTTAACATAAAAGAAGCTGAGTTATTGGTCCATCAAAACTGACATTTTTTATGTCAGAGACTTAAAACTGACTAGCTTTATGACAAACATCTATGTCCACAATTTGCTTCTCAGGACATTGTTTTAATTATACAAATATATCCACAGAGTCAATTAGAGCATCTTGATTCCAATATGTTCCATGTCAAGTGCACGATGCAGGGACAAAGGAGACTGAAGATGTTACCTCTCATGTCATCTGCTATCCTACAGTTTGTTACACAATGAGGACTTAGGTTAATCACCCTGAAGGTTTAATTTCTTCTTGCATGCATGCAAAAAATGCCCTTTGAGCAGAGGAAATAAATGGGCTTGTTCCCTCAACCCATTCAGGATAGACCTCCATCCAAGAGATTTTAGTTCTCTGCACAATCCAAGTTGTTTACTATTTACCTTTACTAAAACTTTCTGAATGATAGCATCAGAAGCAGCAGATGATATTGCCGTCACTTTGATAGGAATCTCTCCCAGCTTTGTTGGCTTGATAGGGAATTGAACGGTTTTCCCGTCTTCACTTGGTACAAATATAGACTGCTGATTTGCTGTAGAATTTATTTCATTGGATGTCAGAGTAATTTCAAAGGCATCATCCACATCCAAATACACGRTAACCTGTAAAATAAAGCAATGTTTGTAAAGTTGGATCTGGCATGCAATCAATCAGTGCAATAATTTAAACTTTAGAATTTCCAAACATTAAAATGTTTTGGAACATTAAACATTGGAAATGTTCCAAACATTAAAATGTTCCATTTTAACATTAAAAATGAGTTTTTAATGTTAACATTAAACATTAAACATTAAAATGAGCTGCTTATTCAACCAAGATTGATACAGGAGCATGCACATGAACTGACTTGGGAATTGCTGGCAAACTTCATCCTATAACAGAATTGTAGTGAAAAATACTCATCAGAAAGACCTAGTAGTTCTTACTTCAGCCTCTTCTTTCAAATAGTTAAAGATGTTCACTTCCAAAACGAACTGTTCTCCTCTGGTGACAGCATATGGGATGTTCAGGAAAATGAAGAAAGGTTGGAAAGCTTCCAGCTGCAAAACAAAACCAGTATAGAGCAGCGAACTCAAGCAATCAGATATTGGCTATGAAAATGACCATATAATGTGTTCTCCGATTAAACCATCTCACCTTTAAATTCAAATTTAGGTGAGACAGTATATTTGAGTCTACAATTTATAAAATATAATCCTGTAGGGGAGATGCAGACACCAAAAAAAATCTATTAGTTATTAGCATCTTTTTGAGAACTCAGTAGCATTCAGGTGAGTGCTCATGGACTCCTGGCAGCCCTGACACAAGGGCATTTTCTGACAGAGGCATCTAAATTGGGTCTTAAAGAGTCTATCAACTGGCAGGCTTGAAAGCTGTGATCTGGCCTATGATCTGAGATCTCAGGAAGGCAATCATTAACTGGTTTGAATGCATAACTATTGGATGGTTATATATCTCTCTATGCCGATATATCACCATGTCAATAGAGAAATGAATTTAGAATACAAAGTAACTAACTTTCCTTAATTCTGTAATTCACTAACAACCACATGTGCAGTGGTTTGATATTTTTGCACATTTGAGATTGTTTTGCAAAAATAACTGTTGCAAGTTCTTTATATTATTTCTAAAGATACATCATTTCTTAATTAAAAGAAAAACTGAGGAAAATCCACCAGCAACTAGTTACTTTTATCTGAAAACAGGATCTTTTGGATGAAGCCTTGGTTTGAAGAAGCCAGTGGTAAGCTCACTTCAATCTCAATGGAATGAAAATTATACTGCTTACAAACATCTGTACAATAAGAATAGTTGAAGCATGATATGTTTCATTAGTGAAATGTCAGCTAGAAACGGTTTTAATTTTGTTTTCATTTAAAAAATATTTCTATGTGAACAGAGTTTTTGGGGAGATCTGAAACTCAAAATTCTTCTTAGCTATCAAATCTTTCCATTTTTTCTTTATAAAACTAGCTCAACTTTGGGTTGAGTTTTCTCAAGCTTTCAGTTAGTTAACAAAGTCTTTTTCCCGCTAAAGAAGTTTTGGGTTAGTCMACCTATTTTCTGCCTTTTTTTCTTTCCCTTTAAACTTCTTGCAGTACCGAAAATCTATATTCAGGAATATCCTAGTATATCAGAATTAAATACAATGGGGTAAATTAATTGATACTYGCTATAGTAGAAATCATATAAAATCAAGACACAAAGGAATAAATGACAATAAACATGCAGATGTCATATTTATTTCTCCATTATAATTTTCATGAATTTCTTCTATATGCTTTTCTGYATGGTACTCATTAGCATGTTTCAGCCATATGGATCTCTGAGCACAATATAAACAAAGCAGTGGGTGATGTACTGAACAGTGCATGTGGGTGATTATAGTTAAGAAATCATCTCAACATCTGTTCTACTTGCAGCCTACTCAAATTTGCGTATGAGGGGCCAACTATATATTTTCATACAGTCTGAACCAGAAAACTATTCCTCTTTTTGTCTCATCTCTGCCAAACATCACGAAAGAAACAAAAATGAAGATTCCAGTCTCAAAGGAGCTTTACCACAAAAAACAGATCAGGCTCCAAGTTTTGTGGTGGAGTCATGATCGTGATGTTCAAAGCACATGTTCTGTGTCTGGTGTAACAGCCAACTATGAAATTTGGATCTATCTATGGGTTTGAATTCCAGAAGTTACTCCTCCCCAAGAATCTGAGGGCATGAGAACTTTAACAGGTAAATCATCCTCTCTAAACTATGTTTTGATTAGTTGTGGTGTCAAGTTGTTAATCTGCAACTCAGTACCATACCGTTTCACTCAATCTAACTTCGGGCACTTCATTGAAGTTGTCTTGGTTAGGAATGCAGTTTCCGTAGAATCTTTACATGAAGAATGGAAGGATCAATAATCCTTTGCAGGGTTATTCAACATAGCTAAAATATTAATTAAACAAGCCTTGAGGAAAAGCTTCCTGTTTTAGATAGGCTGAATAACTCTGTGAAGGTAGCTTTCTCCATGAACAAAGAGACAGTTCATCAACTGCTACAGTCCTTGCACATACAAAAGGTATGGGAGGCAGACACTTGGCAACTAGGGGCACCTCATCGCTCATCTTACTGTCAGATCTCAGTGTACACTCCATCACTCAGGTTTTTATTCAAAAAGTAAGCATGTTTCCTTTTTTTTTTTGTCCTTCCTTCTAGGGTGATTTTCAGAATAACAGCACTGGAGCATGATCCTTCTAGTAGACAAAATGTTCCCATCCTGGCCACCTCTTCCCAGCTGGCCTGTGTGCTCTACCTGTACTCACTATCCACCTCATGTAAAAATCTTCTTGGCACAAACAAACCAGGGAAACACGATGTCCTCAGACAGTCATTCCTCCTTTCCACCTAAGAAGACTCTGATGTGGCCACATTGTGAAAGTACAACCATTTTAACTCAAGTAGGCACTCAAATATTTGTGTAACATCTGAGCTATTTAGAAGTCCATGAAGAAGAAGCATATATAGATGACTTTGAACATTGGGACGGGCTGCCCAGAGAGGTTGTGGAGGTTCCTTCTCTGGAGATCTTCAAAACCTGCCTGGATGTGGCCCTGTGCATCATGGCCTAGGTGTYCCTGCTGGAGCAGGGGGGTTGGACTAGGTGATCTCTAGAGGTCCCTTCCAACTTCAACCATTCTGTGATTCTGTGACTTCGTGTGGTGTTTTCTCTAAGTTTGAATGAAATTCATCCCTTGATCACTTTATTAGTGTAAGGAGACAGCCATTATTAGAACTAAGATACAGCTTCAAGTATAAGATGACGATGTTACCAAAAGTTTAAAGCATAACAGTCTACTTCTGTATTACCTCAGCTGGAGCAGTTGTCAACCCAAGCCCACTGTTTTCAGAAATCACAAAAGCACTGGCTATCCAGGATGTGATGGTATCGGGTACAGTAACTTCCAGCGTGGTACCTGTGTCAGATCTGATGGCAAAAGGACATAAAAGACTTTCAAAAGCTTAAATTAACTAAATTGAAGGTAATTATATTTAACTACTTTGCATTACACTTAAGAAGATGTTACATATCCTGTAAAATAATCTGAGATTATGACTATGTCTTTAAATCCTTAGCCATGGATGAACATAATATTTTGCTTCACATCACAAGTCCAATTTCACCATCCAATTTGAACAGCTCCTTGAATTCCTGACTTTTGTACRGGTAAGATTTCACATTCTAGACTAATCTCAATATTTTAGAGAAAGAATACTGAGTCTCTTTGTGAGTTTGTTCCCAATCTGTAAAAAAGAAAAAAAAAATCTCCAGTATTTTTACCTAGAATCTACTAAAACTGTAAAGTATTCAGTCAAGCACTGTCTCTTTATGTGTAGCTCTAAAATGTCTAATTTGGTGGGCCTCCAATCTCATTTGTGGCCTCTAGGTGGTAGTGCAATACAAATAATACTATATTTTAAAGCCAAGTTCTTCAACTTTACAGCATAGTACTACTAAAATCTACAAAATAATAAAAGCAAGAATAAATCAGTTTCCATTTGCTGCTAATCTGATACCTAGTATTGGTGTCAATCCAAAGCCAAGTCTCTGGAAAACGTGTCCTGACATAAGGAGTGCTGAAATCATGAGATCCATCTCTGGTTTCCAACAAATCATCAGCAAAATCATCCTCTATGGGTATCATTCCGCCATCTACAAAATAATAAATATTATCCTTTCAAAAAAAATGGTTTAAAAATATATTAATATAATGTTTGGACCATATTCTAGAGCTTTGCAATACATTTGGTAACAGCACTCTGTGACAATACGAGCTAACAAGTTTCATAAGAACCTGAAGTTTCTACCTGTCTCTGGAGGCAATGTATGGGAGTACTCCTGAAACTCATACGGTACGGCTACTAATATCACAGTGGCAAACTATTGCCCATATATCAAGTGGAACTGAACAGAAACTCATTCACTCCCAGGCCCTCACTGGATACCAACACTCAGGACAGAAGCAAAAAGAAAGTTTTTAAAATACTGTAAGTTTTGCATCTCTTGACTCTTGAAAATCACAATTATTTGCAAGGCTGAATATAGACCATTCGTGCTACCACAAGAACTGCTAATAGGAAGCCTAACCCTTAGACAGCCTTTCCCACACAGTACATTAGACTTGGCTACATTTATTTTTATTACTTACAAAGATAACTTTCTTTATCCTCCTCAAGAATTGCATCAGTTGATACCCAAAGGCTGCATTTCTGGATAGAATTTATAAAATATAGTTCAATACAGGGCATTCAGGACATCAACAGAGCTTATCTATTTTCTTTTTTTTCTTTTTTAGAAAAATACAGTTTCCATAATAAAGCAGTTATAAATCTTAAGGAAGTAGTATTCAGGAATCAACAAAACAGAAATCTAAATCTGAATATTTCCTCAATGWCAGAAAAGTTTAAAAGAGAATACACTATCAAAAATAAAGCAATTCACATTTATGAAAATACAGACATATTTCTCTGCATTTGGAATATATACATGATGATTAATTTTTCAATTCAAAACCAATATAAACCATGAAAACAGTACACTATCTACAGTCCCAAATTTAAAAGAATTTTTTTTCTCCTAGGCAGTAAAAGCAGTAAAAACTCAGCTTTTACTTAAAAGAAAAAGAAAAACAATACCTGAAAGACATCAAAAGAACTTCTAACCAGGGGAAAGTACTGWGCTGTGTTGTATAAATGGAGATCATGTATTACCTAAAACAAGAGAAACAAACTAATCTGAAGAGTGTTCAGTCTTCAATTGTGTGAAAATTGTGTACTCTACATTTTCAAAACTTTTACAATTACAGATGCTAATTTAAAAAAAAAATGAACCTCAGGAAGTAGCTGTGAGCTCTGATGTAACAAAAAATAAAATCTGTGACAGAATAAATGGGATTGGACTATAATGGTTTCATGACTAATGAAAGTGTGACTAAAACTATAAAAGAATAAAATACAAGACTATAGTTCACTGATACTCTGTGACACTTAAGCTAACATGTCATCATCATGTCACTTTAGAAATGATGTTTTCTGTCAAATCTTTTTGCTTGCTGGTGCTCTTGTGATCTTGTGATACAAAAAGATTAATTATTTTATTCTCAAAAAGATACAGTTCTTTGTATTGTTTTATATTGATTTTTAAAAGCACAAATCACTAAGGAATTTTCCTAACTTTTTTTCTTTCTTGAAAGAAGAAACTGCCAACTAAATAGATAAATGGAAAAACAATGAAGTATTAGTTGGAATTAAAAATGCCAGGTCTATTATTTTGAAAGCCTTACAGTCTTTTCCACAATTAAAGACTACAAATCATCCCCAAAGAATATCATTCATTCAGCTTATGAATGGTAGTGTATTCATAAACATACATCTTTCATACACACAATACTGAAAACATTTTTCCCCACTTTCTTACAGAATCTTCTGTTATGTCACTACTTTCTCCTAGAAGTTTTGTACTTTTATCAACAACTGCAAGTCCAATTATTGATCTTGGTTCCATTGTACTGATTTTAAGGGAGACTTTCTCAGATGGCTTGACCTTATCTTTGCTCCAAGAGATTTTAATCTAGAAAAGAAAGACAGAAAATAGTCAGCTAACAACTCTGAGGAAGTATTTTTAACTTAATTAGCTACAATTAAGACTTTGGATTTGCAAGCAAGCATGACATCTCTTAGGACTTCTGCCTACGACCYGTAGGAGAACATCATGATGCTCCTTCTACTGTCTTCAATTCCTTACATTGGTGTTARGCTACCATTAGCATCCAGAGCTATCATTTTAACTCACACTTAGAATAGAACCAGCAACCTCTTCAGCCACAAGTATATACTACTTTCCATAGCTAAGGGCAGTAAAAGAAATGTGTTCTCTGTAGATCAGTACAGAATATGCAACATATTCTCTGAAATACTGGGATATCTAGATATCTAGAAAGGCATTTTGGGGAAAATCTCCATTCCTCAAAGATTCCACTAATGCTTTTCCTCCTTCCTTAGAAGAAGAAGAACTTGAAACCATCTTTGGGTGGTGTCACCTGTAAAAAGTCAAAGTTAGTCTTTTATTTGCATAAAGAGCAAAAGTCTCATCCTGATAGTAAACTAGGAAATGAAACAACTGCTGTAACAATAGTTTTCCCACTGTTTTTCAATTTTTTTTGAGTTAAAGTACTCATGGTCACAGGAAATATTGGTCACATTCACTGTCCACACAGTCAAAAAAGCTGCCTTTGAGCTTCTATAGAAAATTAGGAAAACTCATGGCTTATGGAAAGTCTCCCCAGAAAGATTCAGCAGAAAATGCCAGTTCTATTTTGAGCTCTCTGYGGTCATACATCATACCACATGATCCTCTCTGATTAGAATAAGGTTTTCTAAAACTTTACAGTTCCATATATACAACACTGGTGAATATCCTTCTACTGTATTACCTAAAGCAGKTTTTGGCTGAGTAATTCACTAAACTATTAAAATCAAGAGGGGATGCTGTTTATCTGTTTATGCAGAGCACCTAGGTCWAGTAGGTTTTTTTTTTCAGATATGAAATAGCCCTGCATTTATAGCTGAACCCTGATATTATTAAAAATCTTTCCATGAACTTTTGCAAATCTCAGATTAAATCCCCAGATTAGATTTAGTGTTTACACTTCTGTGATCCAGACTACTGCTTAGCATGCAAGAAAAACCCAAGAACACRATCTCAGATTCAAGTTCCACATAATTACCTTGTCCAAGGCAGGCTGAATGGAGACAGTGACAGCATCATTTACAACTACTCCAAGCTCATCAACATAGAATACAAGTACGTGTGCCAGGGGAGCCCAGGAATTTTCTGCTGTTAAAGTGAATGTTGTGGAAACTTTTGTGCCAAATGCCATAATCTGTTCCTTAGATACTACCTGAAAGGGAGAAATGAATCACAGAACCTACTGGTAACTCAGGATATGACAAGCATTGCAATTTCTTCTATAAACAGATGCTAAAAGAAGAGTCATAGAGCTGTAGCTTTTTTGAAAAACTGGTGGGTTAGCTCTAAGAGACTGGGTATCAAACATGGGAGGAATGTAATAATTAAATATTAAAAATAGATATTTTACATGCTTTAATTCCTGTATCATAATGGCCAAATGAAAAACCACAAGGATAAGTGCACAGTACATATTGACAATGAGAATACAGAAATATAAGAACAAAATGGCTGGGTAGTATGGGACATCTACAGTAGCATTGAGTTTGGATCAAGAATACAATTTTGAAGCAAATCTCCAATCAATCCATACTTCATGGAGAGCCCACTAATATGCTCCAGCTAATGACAAGCATTTGGTTTACCAGATCAGATCATAACTAGCCTGAAGCTCCCTCAAGATATCTACAATGCAGACTTTGGGTGCACAGGATCAACTTTTTCATTCTGAATCTGTTACAACTGGACCATATGACTTATCAAAAAGGAGAGCTATGGAGAGCACATGATTGTTTCTCTTAACTTTTCAAATCTGCATTTTCACCAACCACCTTGACTGTAACCTTTGTCCTTCTGTGGCTAAAATCTGCAAGGCCAGTTTATGCCTATATGATCTGTCAGAATTTCTTTACCTTAAACAACTCTTTATTACCTCCATGTAGATCTCCATATTCTTACTGAGAACAGATTTCTAAAAATTAATTAACTGAGAAAAGAATTGTTTGAATCAAAAAATACAAGATACGAAGAGCACTGTTTCTTTATAACATCTAGGTTAAGAGAAATGCGTATGGTAATATGGTAAAAATATGAATTTGCATATACATACACATATACAGACATATAAACACATAAATATATTGGTATATGGGGCAGGGTTGTAACTTTCCATATTTTTGAATAACATTTTCATATAAAATTGTTTAATTTAAACTATTTAATTACTTATCTTGGTAAGTAAAATGGTTTTTGTGCATGCTTCAAAATAATATTCATTTAATTGCTAAGAAAGCTGCAAATCTCTCACCTCAGACAAACAAAGAAGATTAGACCATATACTCATGTCATTCCTATAATAAAAAGGTAGATCCCCAAACTTCATTTTTTAAAATTTTTTCTATAGTTTTTCCATTTTAAAAAATACACCTGAATTTTACACACACATTTTACACATTTAAAATTGTTCTGGTATTTTGCTTACTCAGATTACTAGTAGCTAAAGAATAATTGCAATTATAATCATTATGATTTAGACTGCCCACAAGACATTCATGCCTTAAGGATGGGGAACTGGCAATAAATCCTTTCAGCCCAGATGCTTAAATTACAATTYAGTAGAACTAATAATAAATAATGATCATCTAAGCCACTTATTAAAACAAACAACAAAAAAAGGGCTTCCTACTGCATACAAAATGCAGTTTGCTTAACACTGCAACCCTTCCCACTAACCCATTTGTTTTCTGAGCAGGCAGCTCTTCTCCCCATGCTGTGTTCACAGCATAGACTCATTCTTATCAGCCCCCAAATCTGCTGAGGGGCTCCACAACCCTCTGCTTCCACTTTTCCCCCTCAGATATGCTGGCAAGCCCCAGCTAGGGCTGCTCCCAGACACTCCTGCCTCCTGACAACAGCAGGACCACTGTCATAGTTCCACCTTACTTCCCACATCCATAACCCATCATCCAAAACAGAGAAATACTTCCAGAGAGCACTGCTAGAGGCAAACATGTTAGGTAGTCAATGGCCACTTTTCTGAATAAAGACCATCTAAGCAGAAAAGCAGTGTATACATCAAAGTAGAGTAGAAATGTGGAAATTTTCAATTTTTCAATCATATTCCATTCACTCCAATATTTAAGAGGTTGGTAAAAGACATCTTGAATTGTACACATATGTAAAATCGATAGCTTACCAGGTAATGAAACTCTTTTACTGGCTTGTTGCTTGCAATAGTCAGCTCAAAAGGTTTCCCAGCCTAGGCAAACAGTATGATTTATATGGATGAGTATGGGGACATGCTGAGTAACTTGAACCGTTCCTATCTTGGCAAGTTCCATCTCACACTGTTACCTTTACATCCTGGCTCTTTGTTTTAACCTGGAGATAAGTCTGGCTGGATGAGCTGAACACATCATAAACACCTATGTCAGTCTTACTGTTGAGGAACTCTGCCTGTAAGATAAGGTAAACAGTAAAATCTGAGATATTCACATACATGTTACTGTTTGAAGGCAGCATGGTACTGTGACCTTAATGGCAGTACAGAAACAATTTATTGCTCTGAGTAGCTATTTCTTTTCGCTCATCCAATATCTTGGTGCAATTGTTTAGATGACATTTAAATTTTAAAAGCATTATGTCACATGGGATCCATCACCTATGCTTCCTTGCATAACACAATTAGCAAGCAAGGTAAATAATAATAGCTGGTTGTATCAGCTGCTGCAGGCAGTAGGAACAGCATAGCATTGATGACAGTCACAGTCTGCTCYATTTTCAGTATCATTGTTTCAAAGCAATTATAGACAATACCTGAACTCTCAGATTTTTTGTATTATCCAGAATTGGAAACTCAATATCAATAATTCCATTTTCTGGAACAGTGTAATTCAGGACATGGACCGTCTTATTGCTCTCTTCTGTTGCCTCRTTATCAAGGTAAGAAAGTGAAGAATGCTCAAAAAACAGGTCTGTCTGYTGTGCAGTGATTGTGACAAGATTCTGTCGTTCTTCAGTTGTCAGCTGGCTGCCATCAGAACGTGTCACCTTTAGCTAAAAAACAAAAGAAATTATATAACAAACAGGATAAAACTAGGAAAAAATACTTTAAGTTGATACAGCATCAATATCTCAGCTCCCTGTGGACACATCTTTGGAAAACAAAGAGGAAATAGATGAAAGCTGAAGTCAAACTGAGGTGCTAGAAAGAAAAAGGAAAAGGACCAAAACAGAGACCCAAATAATCAGGCAAATAGAAAGGCATGGTTTGAGTCAATCTACACTGAATTGCTTATTCAGGCTATCATTTTGATTATCATTTTGATACATAGGTTTGATTTCTATGGATTTTCGTTGTCCTCAAGAACTGTGACGTCTACTCCCGTTTTCAAATAAACAAAATGTAGTGACACAATATGAAACCACTGCTAAATGCAGAAATATTGAAKGTACCAAGAATATTTCTGCAACAGGACTACAGCTGGTATGAGAAAGACAGAATAGAATGCATAAAAAAGACACTTTCAATTGAGGGATATGTGATTTAATCAATTTTACTCAACTTTGCAATAATTTTTAGTAACATGACTCTAAAGGAATAGCTAGAAACTGTAAAGATTTCTCTTGTTGGAGAGCAGTGACAAATTATATTCAAGAAAAACTCTGCCAAGGCTACAGCATTTTCTGACATTTTGTCTTTTTCTAGTATAGTACCACTAAGTTTAGTAACTTCCCAAGTTCACTGGGAAAAAGAGATGATTTGAAAGCAAATCTGTAAATTATACTTAAAACTCTGAGACAAAATTTAGTATCTAAGCAAAAGTACAGGAAAAAAAAAGTCCCAACACAAATCATAATGAAATAAAAAAAACTTACAGTAGCTATGAAGTTCAGAGAAGGCTTTATTACTCTAGAGTAGTCCACAAATTCAATAAAATAGTCACTTTGCTTTGGAAATATGATGATAGTTGAATTCTGGGAGATTCCTGTTGAATAATTGAATGTGTTTAGATAATGTGGTTTTAAATATGTATTTTTTTTTAGAAGCAATATTCTTTACTTGTTCTTCAGACAATTCTGGTTTTTTGCACTGGTTCCATTTAAATTGCTCTCTACCATTCCAGCTAAGGATCACTACAGAGGTGGTCTCCAACCTATGCTAGATAAGTCATACTGCAAAGTGCTCTACTCCACATAGACTGTGTCAGAATAGAAAAAATCTGCAAAAGAAAGGAAGTCTGCAAAAGAAAATAATTCCAGCTCAGGCAGCTTTACCTTTATTGGGTCTGTACTGAAAGTCTTTGAAATCCAATTTCTGAGACTGGTGGATATTTGTAGAAATTATTTTTTTCTAATATGTAAGTTGAAATGTTACATGAATCCAAAGAAAGGTGCAGTTTGCAAATTCCCCAACTCAATAGAGAGTGAAAAAGACAATGAATGGTAAAGAACTYGCTAGTAATTCTTTATGACTTCTCTTTTCATCAAAAGTGATCAGTTATTGGCTATTAGCCCTCATCTGAAAAAAACCCTCTTTGTTATTTAATAAATCATTTAGCATAGAACTATTCAGCCAAATTAAGAGTTGCTTTAGATCTTTAATATCTAGATAGCTGAGATAATAGACTGTAATATTTCTTTCAGCACACAATAATTTTCMTAGTATTTCTAAGCCTTTCTGCATATTTTAAGAGCCCACTGAACTCTTACAATATGGCCTTCTCTTTGAATTTCTCAAAGAAGACATCTAACAGCAACATACCTGTAAGAGACTCGGTAACCACAGCTATAATTTCTATCGGCTCTCTGTAATCAGAGTCATGATGGTGCCATGACTGATCAGCATTCAAGTCTTGCAACAAAATTTTGTTACATGTAACATTCGCAGATCCATTAATCTGCAATGTAAGAAGAAAAAATGTATCTCAAACTACCAAAATCGAGGTTTTATTTACAACAGCTTATTTCTGGTTAAGCTCTGCAGTTCTCCCCACATAAATTCTGCAGTGCCAAGATCAGAAAATTGAAAAATTCTGGCTTTTAGTAATCATTCTTATTAAAACCAGTAGAAGTTCTTCAGTGTTTAGAGAGTGAGTTATCTGTTGTTTTCTAATAATTATTCAGTTCTGTACTGCCAGAGCATTGGTGTATATGTTGTACAAAAGAAAAAATTTAACWGGTTGCTGAGAGTTAAAATGCTCTCTAAATTCTCAAATCTCATACTTTCCATAGGCTAAGTGCTGCTGAAGGCCTGCAGTATACCAGAAGGAAACAATAGCAGACACTGCTTAACAGAAATCGAAGGTTTTTTAAAACGTTGTCCATAATTTAAAATCAAAATACCTCATTTTGCAAAAGGATGCCATGAATCTATCACCACTTTAAGTCTTGAAATCAAAACTGCAAGCTTTTTTAAATGCCTTGCTCTAGCTCATGCCCAGCCCAATAATTATTAAACAACTACTGTTTAATTAGCAAGCCAAACACTTTGGTGTCTACAAAATTAGTGTTCTACATGGACGTTTTTAATGATCCCTTATGGCCTTATAATATAAGGCTAGGCAAATAGTGGTATATATTGAGCCAGGGAACATTCCTGGGCACTGGAACCCTATCACCTATATTGTTTGGATTGTTCCTGGAATTTTTTTTTTTCTTTGGGCCAACTAATACTCTCCAAAACAACTTCCAGGCATAGTTCAGTAGATAACAAAGGCCAAGTATCATTCCCATCAGCCAGTGTGAACGCAGTCACTTTGCTTTGGAAAATAAGAGTTTAATATTATTCATGCAAGTCCCTCCATACGGTACGCCAGCTGAACTCAACACTTGAGAACCGTCCCAGGCATATTTAACCTACAAAGGCAGACATAGACTTAGGCTCTACAACACTGCTTATAAAAGCAGACATAAACTTAGGCTCTACAACACTCAGAGCTGTTAAAAGACTCACCTCCATTGTGTTTGTTACGTTTTTCTTGTTTGTCCAGTAAGAGACAGGAAGGCAAGTGATGGTTACAGTTCCCTTCACTGGTTTTCCATAAGTATACCTGAAATGTGTCAACCACAGTTACACAATCCACCACCTCAAGGTCTTGGGTTCCTTAGGATTTTCTAAGGCAAAAGGTTATACTAAATGTTTTTCCTTTATCTCAAGCATGACTAGAAAACATGAAGCTTTGAAATATGAAGCCTTCAGCAGAGATCAGCATACAGACTAAAAGAGAACAGCCCCAAAAACACAGAATATATACAGAAGCAGGAAGCTTTGTCCTTTCCTTAATTTCCTTATAAATTATATAAATATACAGGTAATATAGGCAAATTAACTAGATTAAACTAAGGTGGAACACAATATTCTTGTGTCCGAATTAAGAGCCATTTTGGTAGTGTTATTCTGGAATGGCTTTCACCTTCTGAAAAGAGAAACAAAAAGGAACAGATATTCTAGACATGTTATACATTTCATTTTGTCATTTCACTGTAATTAAGGGCATCGGATTAACAACAAAAGCAAAAAATATCAACTGGAAGCAAGTTATTGAATAGAACATTAATGTACCATAATAATCAACAAACAGCGGAACTAAATTGAAATGTAAGAAATGAAACTGTTACGCTTCTCAAATGCTTCTAATACAAAATGAGGGATCCCAAGACACATTTTCCAATTATTTAACAATCACAGCACAAACATAGAAGTAGATTATACTACTAATACTTCTAAATCAATCATTTCTTCTTTTCACTGACAAATGCAATGTTTAGACATGTATTTTTACAGAATTAAATTACCACCAAAAAAGATATTTTTTTCCAGGTCATCTTTGATCAATTTTTCAAGTTGAATTGCTGAATTCAACTGAATTTCTAAATATTCCTCACGTATAGGGTTTTTGGTAGGTAAAAGTCTATACTTCTTTCTTAAACCTATTAGGGTAGGAAGAATGTGGCTAAACTGGAACTAGAAGTGTAAGCCTGGAAAATTCCAAATTTTTCCAGTTGGTCTAATAAAATACAGTGGCCTAATAAAATACAATTACCTAAAAAGCCTAATCTCTTTTAACAGTGTTATTGAGGAAAGGAAATAAATTGCTTGATTGCTTGGAAACTTTCATTATAAGAAAAAAATCATCAAATTCTGTGAATAAGGCATGATAAATAATTTGATCATATTCTAGAAATACCTTTACCCAAGCAAAAAAAAAAAAAAAGAAATTAAAAGTCTGATGGCATACCAATATTAAAACAAGATCCAATAACTAGAAATAAGTAATTTAGAATAGACAGTACTTTTTGGTGTTCTCAGTCAAAATTTTTATTTTGACACTTACTAACACAGTAATTCTTTTAAGAGTGAGGGTGACATTGGTATCAATGATTTACTTACTTTGCAGTGACAACACCAGTTATGTCTTCATCTCTTAAAGAGTAGTATAATGATGTTTTTATCGTGACATCAAATCTTGGCAAAACTTATAAAAAAAAAAATATTAAATTCAGAGAAGAAAAAAATCTACATTTTTTTGTAAATAATACAGGTCATTCACTGTGATATGGTGAAGACTGACAGTTTCTTAYAGAATATGATGTAAGACATGCTTTTAACCCAACTTGGTTCATATGTAACACTAAGACCTCTTGTTGAAAGGAAATACCAAGCAACACAAAAGCTGCCTCTATAAGAAAACTTGTATTGAAGCATAAAATGTCCACTTCTCCTTTCTCAAGCCAAGCTGGCAAAGGAAGAAGAAAATTTCAGCCTATTCAGCTTTTATAGAATCATCAGTAAGCTTCAGAATCAGACATTATACAGACATTTTGGAATGAACACACTGCCTGCATAATTCTGGGAATACAGGGAAAATAACTGTATCTCATATACTTAAAATTATTTTAAAGGTTGCATGACATTCAGACACAGTACAGTAGCAGGTAACTGTAAAGGAAAAACAGGGTTGCCCATAAAATAATGATGTTTTTCCTAGGACTGTACCAGAGAAGACAGGAAAGTTAAGACTTTCTGGGAGTATTCAAAGGGTTCACATTAGCCAAGGGCAGCTAGTCACTCTACACTCTAAATCAATGGAAATGAAAGTTTCTTCAAGCATGTGTTTCCGAACACYTATGTTAGGTTCTTGTACTTGATTTTCTAAGGGAGCCCTTCTTTCTCCACTGAAAGACTACAGAAGCAGACCAGGCAGATCAATTTTGCTTAGCTAGGACAAACCACAAGGAATAACCCCTGGTTCAATATGATGTTACTAAAATCACTTGGTTATTTTTATTTAAACAAACATGATAATGAATATTGTAACAGCTATTGGCATTTTCTAAGTGCTAAATAAGACCTAAAATTCTACCAATTTGGTTACTACTAAATGCACTTAGGCAATACTTACCATACTCCATCACTTTAAATCTTTGATAGTGATCTTGACCCTATTGAAAAAAAATCAARGAACATAAAATCAGATCATCAGATTAACAAATGTATTATATTAACAAATTTAACATATCTTCTATGCCCAGTTGCACATAAGTTAATGCCCACCATCTGCAAGGTAATCTGCAGAACGCCAATTTCTCTATAAAAAAGCAAATATCCAAGCCTAAAGCTAACCAACATAAATGTTCACAATAACCAYGATGAACTATGCCTGAACTACCAACAGTTTCTTTGCAAGCTCTTCCAAAATCAACTCAGGTGTCCCTATACAAAAGTGATGTCTTTATCTGARAGAGCTGGGTCTGTTCAGCCTGGAGAAGAGRAGGCTGAGGGGGGACCTGATCAGCGTGTATAAATACCTCAAGGGAGGCAGKGAGGAGGAGGGGGGCAGCCTCTTTTCAGTGGTGGGCAGGGATAGGACTAGAGGAAATGGCTTCAAACTGAAGCAKCGGAAGTTCCACAGGAACTTAAGGAAGCATTTCTTCACTGTGMGGGTGACAAAGCACTGGAACAGGCTGCCCAGAGAGGTTGTGGAGTYTCCTTCTTTGGAGATCTTTAAAACCCGCTTGGATGCAGCCCTGTGCCCTGTGCTCTAGGTGACCCTGCGTGAGCAGGGGGGTTGGACTCGATGACCTCTGAGGTCCCTTCCAACCTTCGGCATTCTATGATTCTATGATCTTTATCTACAGTGCCTTTTGTAGAAGACCAGACAAAACATGTATAATCTTAAGTCTCTTCATTCACTGACAAAAAGATAAGATGTTATTATAATCTACAGTTTATACTACCTTCAGCAGAGATATCCTAAGGTCACAGCTGCCTTTCTTGTATATTCGTTAATTAAAAATAAATGTAAGAATAAGCAGCTCTTCAAAAAACTAAGTTGGCCATGGTCTCTTTCCCTTTTCTTACTTTTTCTATTTTTTTCACTTTCTTTCTGATATTCTTCAGGAGAATATCCAACCTCATATTCACACATTCTGACATATTTTTGATATGTGGCACATCAGGCTAACAATAGCCTGTTGTTGAGAAAKCAATTTAGAAGTTTCTTCACTCTCTTACCATTAAATGCATCAGTAAGTACAATCACAGTTAACACAAGCAGCCATACTACCTTCCCATATAGCCTTTACTTTTTGTTCTCTTTTGCTCTCCCTTTTTTGTTCTCTACTGCTCTTCTTTGCTAAAGTGAGAATAATTCTGACCAAATATGTAAGGCATTTGTATGAGGACATGAAACGCTTCACAGCTTGATGATCTTTTATCACATGTCAAAAATCGATCAGTGGGAGCAAAGGTATGAGATCATCCACCAGCAGTGCCTGGAACTGGAGCTCTGAATTCAGGCAGGTCTACTTGACCTACACCATAGATGTATTTGGAATAATTTGGAACAATTAAGTACTATTTCATAAAGAGTKGCTAATCACTAATAGCTCAGATTGCTCCTCACTTAATCATATCTGCCACATTAACACATTCTTTGGGGATAAACAATGTATTAGTTAAATAAACACTAAGATGGTTGCTAGCATAACACATCTTGTACCTTGGATCTTGCTAATCATTTATTAATCCCAGTGCTCATAAAAATATAACTTTTTTGAAGGAAAGTTAAATTACTAAATGTGGATAGAATTACTTCCAGTTAGTCCTATCAGAGGAAAAACACTTTCAGGATGTTAAGTGAAAATTTCAGGATAAAATTTTCATGCCAGCATCCATCCAAAAATGTAAAGTAACCAAAGGATTTGGTATAAAATTTAAAGATTTGTCTTTAAAATAATAAAAATCAAATTATCCAAGAAAACTATGTTGCCATGTTCAAAATGTCATGAGTCAATCTGAAACAGCTTTGTGTCTAGTGTTTGCAGCCAGCTTGAATGGAACCCTCCCATTTGGCGTTTTTGAAGAAGAAAAGTAGGTCTGGCCTGGMGCAATGGTCCCAGCAATTGTGAAAGTCTCCATGCTCAGGTTGGATGTTCCAATACAAAGACCACCTCCCTGCTGTGCAGGATGTCAGGCCACAGAGGAGACACAGCCAAAAAGAATTTCAAATCTCAGGCTGAAATCTCTCAGAAGGAGAATGCCAGGGCTCATTCACCATTATTTACTAGCTGCAAGGGGAAAATATGATCTCAAATAGGGTTGGAAGAGTGGTGTAAGGAACCAAAGGAGTCTACAGCTCCCAATGGGCAGGAAAGAAGAGGCTATTTTTGAAAGCCTATTTTGCCTCTTTGCTCAAGACTCTCCTAGAAAAGAATGGAAAGATCAAGATAGACAAAAAYCTGTTACTGGGAGCTGGCTATTTTAAAAGGTTAATATCACTACCTGCTATTCAATCGTGCAATGATGTTATGCTGATGTGGAGCTCAAAAATTTGTTTTTTCCTGTGATTATAACAAAGAACAATGCCACCCTTATAAGCAAACAAATGTGCTGGGATTCCTCACTGRGCAGGATTTGAAGTGTGGAATTAGAAAGAGGGAACACGGTAAACCTAAGAGCAACAGGCAGTGTATGTGTGTGTGTTTATCCCTCTTGCTGCTTGGCTCACAAYCAAAGAATTACCTCGAGAGGTAGGATGAAAAAGCATCTTGTGTTAATTTTTCTTTTTCTTTCACATTAGTATAGAAGTCATAAAAGATAAGTAGAAGTTAAGAGAACTGTAAGGAGTAGGAAAAAACATGTTAAAGTGAGATGAGAGCTCTTAACTCCAACCTGTCTAAAAAGCCAGTTTTTATTACAGAAGCAAAGTCATGGATTTGCAGTACAGGGAAACGAAGAGACTCTACCAGGTCATCTAGCTCATCTGTCTGCGAAGCCCAGTTTCTCACTAATGCACACTTTTCAGCCAAATGAGTTTGAAATATGCCAAGTAATAGCACTTGAACCACTTCACATCATTTTATCTCTTCAGGGCAGGGCTGCATGTCTGACAAATAGTATTCAAATATTTTGGAGTGTAAGTTGTTAAGCCGGTTTCCAGGAGTGGAGGCTTTTAAGACAAGCGGTTAGTTATAAACACAGTCCAAAAGAGAGATGTCTTTTTTTGGACTTAGACAGAAAAACAACATGTTTATTCCATTTGTTTCCAATGCTGTTTTATTCTATTTTATCTTATTCTTCTATGTCTGTTTTTTGCTTCTTAAACATACTCATCCTTCCAAGCTACTGTCACTTTGCCCTAAATCAGCACTACTTAAACCACAAAGTGTTTATCACAATCTGTGCATGTTGTCCAGGATAAAATCATCATTTAGAAAAATAGTGCCAAAAAGAGATCCATATAAATACTCAGAGATGATAAGGAAGATAGAGACTTTCTGCATTTGTGTCTTAGATGCTAYAGACTCTGACATATAAGAATTGCTAACAACTGAGATTTAGGCTTTGATTTCCATGATAAAGTTGTTCCATCTGAAGTTATTTGGATCAGGTAACAAACAAGGGAAAACAATTTCCCTCAAAATTTTTACATCTTGGCAATCTTTTTTTTTTCTATTTTTACTCTTGGCAATCAAAAATCTCTGAAATGAATGTGCTGCATATCATCTTTCTTATTTCTTTTTATTTTGTTTTTACATGAGCTGTCAGTTACATCACGAAAGACTACAGTTTCTTACTGACTGCCTTGAAAAAGTAAAATCTGGCACATGCTTTTTTTCTTTTGTGATTATACTGCCATCTCATGGTAAATGTTAGAAAGTTTCATTGACTAAATAGATTTTTATCTAAATAGAAATTAAAAAAAACCCAACATCTCACAATCACTTTATTTTTGTGCTTTATTGTCATATGCACTAAATAACCTCCAAAATAAAATTCTGCAAGAATTCCTACACTTTTGTTCAAATCCATCAGTATGGTCTCCAAAAGCTAAGCAGAATCATACTACTGTCACCAATATTCGTACTATTAGTTCCTGGTTAAATACCAGTGCTCATTTTAAAACTACCAAAACACAGAAAAACATAAATAAATAAACTGCTTTTGAAAGGGTGATACTTTTTTTCTAAGTAACCATATAACCTCAAAATCCTTGAGTGGAATTCAAAAGAAGTTTTATAACTGAAGCTTTGAAAAATATGTAATACTTATTCAAAAATATTTTAGAAAAACCTCATTCCAGCCCAAACTACTGTTCTCTAACATTTYATCATAACTACACTATTCTCTAAAATTTCATCATGACTTTCCAAATAACAACTTCCATTAATTAGGTTACAAAATAAGACCTTTTGAAGAAAAATGCTTACTATTAAAGCTCACCAACTAACAGCCTTTTAGCAGCAGGCTCCATGGCAGGAAATGTCAGTTATCCAACTAAAATACAAGATGGAGACTTGGGAACCAGACTGCAGTGACTCTGTCCTGAGTTTTCTTGGAATAGCTGTGCTAACACCTGGTCCCTTATAAAAAAGCTACTCCAGGATGTTTAAGAGCAGCAAGCAGTCAGCACAAATGAGGTTGAGCAGCAGTACTTCCAGGAATTCAAATTCTGCACACTAGGGAACACCTGTAATGAGTGGGAGGCAAATGTTATTCCCTGACTCTACTAATGACTCTTTAAAGATAGGAGTCATGGATGACTCTTGTCACCTGATATGAAAAGGTTGGACATAAAACACTAAGCTAGAAAGCTGAGACACTGACATTAGGATAGTTAAGTCAGCAGATGAGGCTGTTTGCTATCTGAAGGTCCTAAGCAGACCTTGCCATCTAAAGTGCTAAGTAGATACAAAAGCTGTGCTGGATCTTCTGGATGCTGTGGACACAGGGAAAGCAATAAGTTAGCTAAACTATCTAGCTTAGKTTAGATACAAAATACATATCTACAATATCTACAAAAGCACCAAGGCCCAGTGAACTGCAGCACAGACACACCCTATACATTCCTTAGCACTAAATGCAAGTTCTTGATGATCTTTGTTAATAGGGAGGAATTGGTGAATTTMTACCACTCACTTATACAATATAGGAAAATCCGTAGCTCCCTTGGTTGGCAGGTTCAGAATAGCCAAGATTATCCAGGCAATAGATAGGAATATTTACAMAGAGTGACCTCAGTTACTCTTTAGCTTTCACTGAGCACTGACTAGATCTCCATTAACCGATGTCAGCCTTAGTGTAACCTACATACAGACCTCTACACAAGGTAAATCTCAAACTGAATCCTACCCAATTTGACTCCTCTGATTTCAGGGTAGAATCTCACTTGTAATTAGCAGAGCCAAAAAGGATCTTCCATCAGCTAAGTTGCTTTTTTTTCCCCCTTTTTCTGCAAGACTTATTACATTTTTCATTAATCCAATAGTTTAACATGTTATCAGARAAAAAGAATAGTGTGTGAGATAACCAATTAAACAGGTTTAGTTTAATAACATGGTATCTCTATGCACATGACAGCCTTACCCAATGCAAGACAGTTTTGCAGTGCGTAGGTACAGGCTATCACATAGAGAAATGCTGCAGATCACTATGTCACTACTTGTTTTAATATAGAATTTGAAAATTAAAGCAGAGAAAATGTGGATGTTGGAGGAAAAAGAACCCTGAAGAAAACAACRTAAACTTCTGAGTTTGGGGCTTTGCGTTGGTGTTTTATTCCCACAGGATATGTATAGTGAGAAAAGCCATTTTGGCATTTTCGAGAGGGCTCAAAGTCTACACAGATTCCATTTTATATATAAATATATATATATATAKTTTGATATATATATGTATATAATATATATACTGGGCCTTCTGTCCTCTACTTCAATTTGTAGTTCATAGAACTTAATGACAACTGGGACCATGAGTGTATTTAGCCTGGTTTCTTTTATCACAGGTTYGGTTATTAGTAGATTTGTTATATCATGTTCCTACTCTCCCAGCCGCTCCACACCTGTGACAACAAAGGCCTCCAGAACCAGTGCTTTCTATTTAGAATCATAGAATCACAGAATGCTTAAGATTGGAAGGGACCTCAGAGGTCATCGAGTCCAACCCCCCTGCTCACGCAGGGTCACCTAGAGCACGTGGCACAGGGCTGCGTCCAAGCGGGTTTTAAAGATCTSCAAAGAAGGAGACTCCACAACCTCTCTGGGCAGCCTGTGCCAGTGCTCTGTCACCCTCACTGTCAAGAAGTGATTTAAGTGCTTTTATTGTATTTTATGTCTATGAATTTTCCAGTCAGTTCTTGATCCCTTCAYATTCYTATTATTCACAGGACTCTCTGGTTCTATGTTATGTAGTTTAATTGTGCTGTTTAAATTGTTTTGAAATTGCCCTCTATACCGGTGCCCTTCTAGACAATGCATTTGGAGAGAGYGTTCTCTGCTTTCCCTAGTTACTCACGACCAGAATGGCATTTTCACCCTGTCACCTCTTTTCCTACCTCATTTATATTCACTAACCTTTCACAGTACATACTAGGTAGCTAAAATTTAGAATACCACCTCCTATGATCTACAAAGATTTCAGTTCACACTTGTCTGTTTCCTTACAGTTGTTGCATTAGCCTAGATAAAATCTAACACACTTTTTAATTTTGCATTTTTTCCCTCTTTTTTTTTTTCCCAGGTGACAATGATGTTCATATAGTCAAAGCCTGAAAACAGCTGATGCAGGCCCTTGGGCAGTGTTTACCAGACTTCAGGATTATTCATGATTTAGCAGGAAAACCACACAGAATTTCACCACCATTTTCTCTGTCAAGAAAGCTGCTGAAGAAGCCCCCTCTGTCACCAGGCTCTCTGAATCACACTTGGCTGCTCCCTGAAATGTGTGGACTGTCCTGTGACCCTGATCAGTCAACTGCTCTGGGTTAGCCAAAGAAAACATAGAGATGCTTTTCGGTCTGGGTCATTTCCCTGATGCAGTTTTAATCTTTGCCTCATTACAGCTGCCTCAGCTAGACCCAGAAGTGGCTGAACAGGGGCAGGAGAGAGTAGCTGAGAACAGGGACAAGAGCAGAAATAAATCATTTTTTTAATCCCATAAAAAACAGTACTAATGAAAACATATCCAAACAAGAACCTATTTGCAAAATCCAATCCTGTCGTTCAGTTGAACAYCAGCCCTCTCTACTTTGCCTATATAAATCCATAAAGCACATAAGTGTTATGTATGCTTCCCAAGTACAAACCAGCTTCTCTTCTCCTCCAGCAACTGCCCACCTTGCTAGAACATAAATCCGTCCTKCTTGTACTTGCTAAATGCCTCTGAATGGCCATTGCAAGACAATTCAGAAGGGCAGCTCTCAAATTACAGACACTTCCAGCAACACACACAACTACTGAACTACAAGCTACAAACTGTCATTCGAACTACAACTCCAAGTATTTTTACAACATATTTCACTGTATATCATGAAAGTGTTAAATGAATAGGACCAATAAAACTCAATAGTACCAACAGCAACATGCAAAGTAAATCACACTAATTTTGTTAAGCAACATTCTAGTATATTATTCATCCCATTATGCATAATTCATTTGCTCTCAGTAATGCTTCAGTCATTGTGAACCGCTGAAACGCCACTAAAACTAGACAAACATGGGTAAATGACAGTGTTTGGTTCTACATCCTTTGAGACCCTGACTTACTGCATACCAGGGCACAAAGACTTTCTGTATACTCACTTAGCAAAAATAAACCCGATGGAGTCTTACTTTAAAGAAAATAAACACTATTTCTAATATTTCATAAAATATTTGGTTTATATTAACAATTAAATTAACATTTAAATCCCTAAGTTTTTAAATAACATTCACATTTTAGAATCAACGGTCATACCTTAGGATAAAATATGTATGATATTAAATATTTGTCCTTATTAAACCATATACTACTGAAAAGCTTGCAAGGTTTGCTCAGTTTCCCTAGATGTGGAGTGAAGGAAGGATTTTCTAGTCTCTTAGCCCATGATATCTCCTCATTTTGCTTCATCAAAGGACACCCGAGTACAATTTTAATTAATAAGTGCATAGAACATACAAACATACATCAGGAGGAAAAAAAAATCTCTATAAATTGGCTGTGATAATACTCACGTCCACTTCCACTTCTATGGACCAATCTCCTAGTGGAGGGTTCATCGACAACTGAAATTTTTTTGAAACTACTCCCAAATCACCCTCCTCCAGCAACCACTGCTGAATCAAATTCTTCCGAGGGTCCTACAAGACAGAAATCAGTTAAGTGTGAGAGAAGTGAGTTAAATGTGAATAGCCTTAGCAGCAAGGTTTAGACAGTAATTCAAGTGATCTTTATTTGGCATGTAAAGATGGAATACATGGCAAATTCCAAAGTATAACTGGATTTCTGTGGCTACTTACTCGGATAAATATATTCAGAGATGCTTTGTAAGGTTTGAGATCAGGATAGACTGTGACAATCCGAAACATCACATCTTGTCCTGGTTTATACGTAGATTTGTCAGTCTGGATGAACACAGAGCTCCTCTTTGAGATATATGTCAAGCTGGTACGGTTAGAGAAGACCTGCTGGCCCTCAGCATGGCCTTCCACCAGTAATTCATAATTCCCAGAMGCACTGTTCAAAGGCAGCTAAAAAGACATGAGTGAATTGCTGTTACTGTTTAAAGTATTCTTGAAGGTCTTATTATTCAGAAAATGTTCACCATAAAGATCTCTGACCCATACCTTGACTTGTCAAATTGTGTAAATTCTCAAAAACTGAAAGAAGAATTCAATGTGAGGGCAAGACTTTCAATGCGAACTTATTGAAAGAAAAATCCTATATTTAGATTGTGCTTTGGTTGCTGTTTGTTCATACAGCTAACTCTGCCTTTAAGGTGCCATTTGGAAAGACTGCTATTAATGATCCATTCCACCAGAAATCAAAGCCCTCTATAGTATCTGTATAAACAGTTCTGCAGCTCTACTGGGCTGACTCTGAAGTGTCATTTCAGCAACTACCAATACAACAATAATTACCCGACAATTACTTGCAATAATGTATTTATTTATGTATTCATATACCTTTCATACACACACACACACACAATGCTCTTTCTCTTCTTTCTTAAGTTATTTAGAAATTTACTGATTTTGACTTTGGGAGCTCATTTTTGCCATTTTTTAATAATGAATTGTCTAGGAAAGAAAAGAGTTATAGATGCAATATACATTCAAAAGGAGTCAGACRGCAATGAGACACATGTAATCTTGCACCTCCTTTCAGTAGCTTTAGCATCTTGTCTTTGGGGTAGAAATACTAAATTCAGAGGAAAATATTCCCAGGATGTAGACAGTGCTTTTGAATAGAAATTGACTTTTTTTTTTCATTTCAGTGGTTTTACAGTTCATAATTATAGCACACACTAAATCTCACCTAGTAAGAAAAAAATAACTATTTTCCCAAAAAACTAAGGAATAAAAATACAGACATTGTATACCGTTGAGTGAGATGCTTTATTTAGGATGCACATTAGATGCTCCTACTAAAGTCTGGACAGACATTGCTGTCTCTAAGGCAGGATCATGCAAGATCAGAACAACATGAATCTCCCTCTGTCCAGTGATTAAAGTGAATCTAGAGCCCTAAATTCTGATGCAGCAGCTTGTTTCCCAAATTCAGGTGAGAAGAGCCAGAGTCACAGTGGATCTAGCGACTTTAAGCCGAGATGTTGYCGTACACAGGGAAAGTTCACCCAGACAGGCAACATCACACAGACAGTACACAACCCTAGAACTGTTCTAGCCCACATCCTGGCTTCTGTAATACCATCGGCTTAGGGATATCTCTTTAAAGAGGTTTAATAAAATAGCCAGCTGGTTCCAAGAAGTAGTACTGCTATAAAGCTTAAGAGTCACATATTTMTGTTTGCTGTTAGAGCAGTGTAAACCTGGAATAAAACTGTTCAATATGAAGACAAGAAGAACAGAGGCTTACATTTTCCAAAATAAGATACGGAGATTAAGCAGTCTTTTTGCACTGGTAATGAAAATTTCATCTGTTAACTCACAAGGCACAGCACTTTAAAAGTATTCTCCCAAGTTCTGTACTGAAATTATGGTTTGTTTTAAAATTATTTCGAAGATCATGCAATGAGTTAATGGAATTTCCTAATCAGGGAAAAGTGTCATACAACAACAAATGAGGTAAATACCAAATATAGTCTATAAAGAGCAAATTTTACCTATACCAAATACGTTTCCTTCTGTGTATAGAGAGCAATCAGGAGCAACTTTCTTTTTCCTTTTTTTTTTTTTTTTATTCTGACTTTTTAAAAAAAACAAAAATCAAGAAGAGCAAAAATAAATAGTCTCTTTTCCAGCCATGAACAAGCATATAATTGCATAGAGAAAAAACGCCTTTAAAATCTAGATTTATACAAAAAACTTCAAGGTGTAAACCACCAGACTGAATTTGATTTTGCATCTTCTTCAAATGTAGATTTTGTATACACATTGCCAAGAACATATGATTCACATATTTCAACACTCTCATACTTTGAGGCCAAGTTTTCTGGAATACATTAAGTAGGAGGAACAGACTTCGTTACTGCATTTGTCAAAAAATAGCTCAAAAATAATAAATTTAAGATTATTATCATTTACCGAACAAGTTGTATTCCCTGAGAAAAGCAGGCAACATTCCCCACAAAAACTCCAAGAATCATTACAACCGGCCAAAGTCACAAACGGAATGGGATGGAAAAAGCTTGTTTTGTATTATCGTAGCAGTAAATGCTGTTCTTAAAGCGTAATTGTAACATGCTTGCAAGGATTGTCTTTGATTTCTTCCCTAAAACACTGTAATTGCCATTTACAGATCTCATATTTCTCTAAAGCTTTTTTTCCTATCATGAGTAATGGCAAATAACAGGGGCTGCTCTTYGATCTTTGATTTGTTGATACTTTAATATTTCTTTGCTTCCTGCAATTCAGTGACAAAAGTGCCTGGTTTATCCTTCTTCATGCAAATGTCAGCAGCAATCAGGTTGGTATTGTCATGGCAGYGTGTCAGGACAGCTAAGGGGTAAAGCAACCAAGCCCTGGTTCACTTTTCTGTGCTAACAGAGACTCAATGATTCTAGAAGGTCAGTGCTAGCCTATTTATTTCAATCCCATCAACTCCTCCTCTAAAAAGAACATTTCTCTACCTGAAGATGAGCAACAGTAGCTACTGGCAATTGATTATGAAGACATTATTCTGAAAATTGACTTATTAGTGAATATTATTATCCTCATGTTGGTGCCGCTAAGAGAGAAAAAGCCATCTCACATACTTCTGCTGGGCACAGTAGTTACTGCCATGAGCGCCCCAGACAAGGAAGCTACTGTTTCCTTTGGAAAACATGACAGCCCAAGCTGGTAACTCATTACCCACATTACATTACCAGCCAATAGCATGTTGGGCAGTACATAACTCTACCATAGCTACACTAATGAAAAAAACGCCTTCTCATCAAAAGAAGAGTGGGTATTCTTAGCTTCAGACAGTAGCAGGAGAGGGAAGAATTCAGCTAATTCCAGCTGCTACGCACTATGATACCTAGTTTTCACTAGTTGTCTGGGTTTCCTCTGCAGCCAGAGATCCAGAAGGTGAGTCACCTTCACCTGCAGTGAAAGCTACATCCTCTCTCTCTTCACTCTGTTATTTATGGAGGGAATCTAGACTCATAACTCTTAGCTAGACACCTGATTTCTCTACAGCAAAAGTTACATGAGATGAATCACTCAAGAACACATATTCCCAACTTTTAGACATTTTGAAGGGCCAAGAAATGTTTTAAAATCTTTCAGCTTCTCAAGCTGCCAAATCTAGAAATTCCTGGAATTTCTCCATTCCTGGAATGCTCACAGGTGTATCTTAAATTACACCAAATTGTAATAATTCCTTACAAATCGACAGGCTAGCTGGAGACCATGAGGTCCAAATAATGYGTGATCATTCCTGTGTAATCCCCAGAACATACCTTTAGCATTCAATAAACTTAAAAAGTTTATATCCCAAGAAATTTACTGGGAAAATCTTCAATTGCTTTATTAGAGCAGCTGTAAAATAGGTTGGCAAATTAAGATCTGAGTTTGGTTTTACTTTCACCATTTTATTTACTGTTTGTTAGAAGCCTTCTAAAGTATAAAGTCAGTTTGGTAACCATAGTGGCTATCTTGTTTTAGAATTAGTTTTATAATTAGTAGCACTGATGAGATTATATTTTGCAGAAAGCTAGTAAGACATAACGACACCTTAACACCTAGCCAAATTATAGTAAGATAATTTCTATTTAATTTTTTAGAGAAAAAAAAAAAATGTGATTTTCCAAACTGTGTGGAATGGCCAACACTCCAGAGGGTTGTGCTGTGATTCAGAGGGCTCTAGACAGGTTAGAGAGCTGGGCAGAGAGGAACCTCATGAGGTTCAACAAGGGCAAGTGCAGAGCCTTGCCCCTGGGGAGGAATAACCCCAGGCTGTACTCATGTACAGATTAGGGCTCGACCTGCTGGAAAGCAGCTCCACAGAGAGGGACCTGGGAGTCCTGGTGGACACTAACCATGAGTCAGCAGTGGGCGCTCATGGCCAAGAAGGCCAGTGGGATCCTGGCTGCATCAGGAGGATGTTTCCAGCAGGGGGAGGGAGCGGATCCTGCCCCTCTGCTCAGCTCTGGTGAGGCCGCTCCGGAAGTATTGGGGGCAGTTCTGGGCTCCCCAGTATAAGGGAATTAAGGAACTTGAGCATCTATTTTATGAAGAAAGACTAAGCGAGMTGGGCCTGTTTAGCATGGAGAAGACTGAGAGCAGATCTGATCAATAYGTATAAATACCTGAGGGGAGAATGTAGAGAGGAAGRGGCCAAGCTCTTCTCAGTAGCGGTCAGTGATGGGACAAGGGGCAATGGGTACAAGTTGAAATACATGGAGTTCCATCTCCATGTGAGGAAGAACTTCTTTCCTGTSAGGGTGACAGAGCCCTGGAACAGGYTGCCMAGRGAGGCTGTGGAGTCTCCTTCTSTGGAGATCTTCCAAACCCRCCTGGATGCCGCCCTGTGCCCCGTGCTCTGGGTGTCCCTGYTGGAGCAGGGGGKTTGGACTAGATGATCTCTAGAGGCCCCTTCCAACCTCAACCATCCCGTGATTCTGTGATTACCAGTTAACAATTTGGACACATATGTTTCAAGCTAAGAATCTGTATTATATTCAGGTGCTCACTGTGATTAAGAATCTGCATTATATTCAGGTGCTCACTGTGATTAACTACATACTTACCAAATATTTCCAGATAATTTCATAAGATGTGCGGTTTATCTGAGATCAGAATTTAAACTCACTGCACTTAATAGGTACTAGGTTACAGTTATTTTATAAATAAAGAATTTTGTAAAACATTTTTCCCTGACATAAATACATAAGTTTTTAAATCAGATTTCTCAGATGAACATCCTGGATTATATAATTTCAGGGTTCATCCTAATACATAATTCAATATTACTTGTTTTTATTGACTGATTAATATATTAGGCATTTTTACTGAATATTCTTTTCAAAATCTGAAGGAAAGCTATGTACAAATACAAGTAAGATTTTTATTTTGATCTAAAATGTGGATTATTTTGCACTATTCTTTCAAATCTTATTTGCTTGCATAGTGCATTTAAAATAGAGATGTACATGTCAGCCGGTCAAAAATAGCAGGAAACAAAGTTCTGTTTTTGAGGTTTATCACAGTTTGTGCCAATGCTGCATGTCAACTCCTAAATCCTGTAATTATTTATAACAAGCTATAAAGCACAAAATCTGAAAATTCCTTGGTTTAGTCATCAGTGAATACATTCACCTATGAAAGTTAAAATAACCAGCATCACATACAAAATACACATCATCAGCAGGTCACCAGCATGAGCAGACAAATAGTTTTGGACAGTCAGCGCTTCTGAGAAGTAGGAAAGGAAAAAAAATACTTACTGCTGGAAGAGCAAGAGTCCCAAAGGAATCTAAATAAAAGAAAAGAAAAAAWACCACACTGTCACAGACCTTATAAAAGTTTATCAGAAGTTTCAACATGAACAGGATAATTAAAAAAGCGGCTCTGCTCTTTCATTCCCACAGTGTTTACAACAGCCACCTCACAGCTCACAGTCACCTCGAGTCAAGGGGAGAGGCTCTCACAGACTGAGGGGTCACTGCCTTGGGCATGGGGCTTATTATGGGATGCAGGGAAGAGGATTTGGGAATTGTTCCAAAGGTGGAAAGCAAGAGGGACCAAGGAAGTTTGGGGAGGCACATATGTGGGAAAATGTTGGCAGAGGGGACAAAAGAGGCTGGTGGTGTGCAAACACGGGTGTGCAAACAGGGGCTGCTCAGCCTGCCTGTCTGGCCATGTCCTGCATCTGATCACCACAGCCTGTCTTCTCATTAAACTCAATTTTTAGCTGTTTTCCTGAGAGGGAAGCTCTACGCTGTGAGCATCTCTGTCTCTGGAGGTCTGAATGCCAGCAGCTGGAGTGGGACTACGGATAACAGGACCTGGGTGACTGGGAGCCAACACTAGAGACCAGAGTGCACACACAGGTATGTGACCAGTAGCAAACATCAAGCCAGACTAGCTGTTGAGTAGGTGAAGTGACTAGGGAGCAAGTTATATGTGATTCTGAGTGAGACATCTGGAGGAGTTAGATATTGGAGGGACCACAGCATCTAGACCAATTGCTGGAGACCCATGCAGTCTGGGGGTCTCCCTAAAGACCCATTTGAGTGAGTGTGTGTGTGTWTGTCTATCTTTCTGTACAGCAGACAGCTGTGCAAGGATCCTGTACCATGTGCCGTATGGACTGCATGTTTGAGTCCAGTTACTGGAGGGATCCACAGTGTGTGTGTGTGCACATGTGCAATCATGTGAGGCCACACCTGGAGTGCTGTGTCCAGGGCTGGGCTTCCGAGCACAAGAGGGACATGGAGCTACTGGAGAGAGTCCAGCACAGGGCTATGAAGATAATCAGGGCACTGGGATATCTCACCTATAAGGAAAGGCTGAGGGAGCTGGGCCTGCTCAGCCTGGAGAAGAGAAGGTTGCAAGGGGATTTATCAGGAAGATGAGGCCAGATTATTTTCTGAAACACAGTATTTGAGGAAAAACTTCTTGACTGTGAGGGTGACTGAGCACTGGAACAGGCTGCCCAGAGAGGCTGTGGAGTCTCCTCCTCTGGAGATATTCAAAACCTGCCTGGGCATGATCCTGTGCAACATGTTCTGTATGACCCTGYCTGAGCAAGGAGGTTTTGAACTAGATGATCTCCAAAAGCCTCTTCCAAGCTTAATCACTCTGTGATTTGACATTATTCTCCCAGGACTGAGAGCCTCTCCAGTATAGCTGCCCCAAAGCTAAAGAATTCCCTTGTTTCTGCAAGGAAGTTGAGTCTGCAATTCCTTTATGTGCCAGGGAAACCCAGGATATTTTCTATTGACCTTTTATTTGATTTAGTAGTTGACTACTTTTTGGAGTCACTTTATCAAGCCAAAGATATTTCAGAAGGCATAAAAAATGAAARAGCTTTAAACCACCTGTTACCAAAGAAGGACAAATGGACAAAAAAATTCTTCAGTCCTGTTCATTCCCTCAGAATTAACCTCCTGTCTGCTACTTCCACTGCTATGGTCTGAAATACAAGATAAATCTAGCAATGTAAGCAATAGATACGTATTGAGCAATTAACTCTATGACAACTTAARGCTAATCATGCATTGGACTTACTATCCCTAGGCAACTGAACTAGCTATTCTCCCAGTATTACACCATCATGGGAACAACTATATRATATTAGTGCATATGGGTTAACATAAATTAATAAGTTAATAATATAAATTAATATAAGTTAATACAAAATTATTTTAACTATTATAGATAATACAGCCATATGTTTTTTTCATAATCCATTGTTAAACTTCTGGACATCCTGAAGTCATAAATGCCACAGCTTTATGTAATTTTTAGTTATATAACATTCCCCAACTAGTACTGTAAACTTTATATCAGTAAAGACAGCAGGATTCATTTTTCACATTCATCTAAAGAATTGTTTCGAAATTTCCTTTCACTTTCATCTTTTACATTTTCTAAAAATGATGTTCCTCTAAACACATATATTCTAAATATAAGTGCTGCCCTCACAGAGTTACCTTATACAAGCAGCTTAATTTTACCACTCTGATAATCAAAAAAAAAAAAAACCTCAGCTCAGTTTGACTTCTGTGTTATCTTTTCCTGTCTCCGAAAACACATGGTTGTATTCTGAAAATGTCAGTGTAACAAATCTGCTGTATACTTGGAGGGATCTTTTCTTTCCTGAAAGAATGTCAAGAGTGGCCTCCTTGTGCCTGAAAGAAGTAACGTTCTCTTTGGCTCTGAACATAAACATGTTCACTGATGAAGCAAATAACCTGCCTTTGAACAAAGTGGAAGTACGCGTGAACTGAACTGGTATGTCTTGCCTGCCTTTGTAGAGTTAAAGGAAAAGTCCCATGCAGCATGTTCTATCTATTCAAATTATAACCTGSATTAAACGAAATGACTCATATCCTGAAAACGAGGCTGTGGGCAGCACACTTCAGTACTTCATTCTGGTCTTCAGAAGCAGCAGGAAGCTGCAACACAGTTCCTTCCACAACATGTTGATACTACTGTGAGAGTCGCTTTTTTCCTCTGAATTTGTTCTTTTCACTGACCAGTAGCTCATGCAGTTGCAGACTGTGAACAGTCCCACAAGACTTTGAGGTCCTACGGCCAGAAGTCTCAGACAAAACAGACTCTTCTTTGCTCACTAGCAAGCACAGAGCCTGTCCTGGCCCAGAGCACAAAAGCAGGGAGCCCCAAGCCCTGCTAAGCTTGTGTGGCACGAGACAACTGGAGAACTGCCAAATACATAGGAGGAATTTTACAGACTCTTGCATAATGATATAATATTTTTTTGTAATGCAAACCTCTATCTTGACTTACATATTTATTCCCAACATCTACAAAAAAAAGCCCAAATAATCCTATTGAAAAAGACATGTTTTTATCTATAGGAAATCTGTTTCTTCCTAGCTGATAAGAAACAGATTTAATGTGAATGTATTAATGTGAATGTGAATGTTAAATCTGAAACAGATTTAATGTGTGTAATTAGGATGAACTTTTCTAAGGGAGTATGATATACCACTGATAAAGGAGACTGGATGGAGGATAAGGAGCAACAGTAGAAACAGGATAAAGTTGCCTCCTGAAATTTTGCTCACTTGTATGTGGAGAGTGCAACTCTTCTCTAGCCCCTGTCCCTCTGCATGATACAGTGTGTGAACAAGCCTGTGGTAAAGCTGAATTTTGTGACCACAGCTGACTATAGTTTCACCAGGAAGAAAAAAAAAGAAAAAAAGAAAACAGAAATAAAAAGTTTTCACTGCTGATAATCCCTTATTAACAAAAGATTAGTTTTATTTGCAACATGTGTCTGAATTTAGATCCACATGATAAGTGCTGCTACCCTCGCTTTACTCTACCTAGCACAGACAATTATAGCAATGGTTATAGCAGCGGGACAGTAGCAGCTTCAGGATTTTGGAAGAATCCCATACATAAGTCTGGTACTCATGCCAAAACCCACACCACTAGGTTTCTATTTCCATCATTTCCCACAGTAATGCGAATGCTCTAGCACACTCCCAGGCAAGGGCAGAGCACGGAAGGGAGCTGCGACGCAGCCTTCTGCTCAGCTTGCTGCAACTTGCAGAGCAGCCTCACACTGCACCGGAGCAGGCACTTTCCAGCTTCCTGATCAAAAGGCTGGTTTTCCTAAATCCACCTATTTTGATAAGTATCATGAAAAAGAAGGGAAAAGACTTTTCAACKTTAAATAAGCCGTATTATTATGCTGATGTTCCATATATTGTACCCCAAATATGGAGTTAGTTAGATGGGATAGTACATCAGAATCAAATCAGAAAGGCCTAACTTGCATCCAAGAAATAAAGCTAAAGTTTGTAAAGTTAAAGGTAGCACCATTTCAGAAGCTCTGATGTTAACAAGAATGAGAGTCTGGCTACAGCTTGTGACTGGTTCCGCGAGGTATTTTCAGCACAAAGTTAATGACATAATCCCTGAGCAAAAGAGGCTCCATCAACCACTTGCACATAAGCCATGCAGTGCTAGCAGGCGTGTGGATAGGATGATATTAGAAATAGTGAGTTTCTTCCATTTACCTGAGGACCTAACAGCAGGTATGAGCCAGATATAGCATGATGCTGGTGGAGAAGAGTTGGGAAGGAGGGACATGTAAACCGCAGTCTGTGTAACTCAAAAAGCATTTACATCTGGCGATGTGATGCTAGCAAGGGAGGTAGAGCCTCCTTAGCTGCACTGATAACGCCAGGAGGTCTGCCTCATTCTCAGGCAGTGAATATCATAAACCAGAGCCGGAGGCATGATAAATATCTGTTCACTTCACTATGTAATTATTTCTTTAGGTGTTAAGCAGACTGGGCAGATCCAAAACTCTCAGGTGCTGTGTTTCCTCACCATGCGAGCTTTTCCCCAGTTCTCACAGATGTCGGAGCTGCAGTCCCTTTGTGCTCTCCTTCCTCAGTTACATCTGGACATGGCTAAGGTCATTCTCAAATGAGGTAAATAGGCAAAAGATTGTCTTTATAACAGTGTGGAATTGCTGAAATCTCCTACAATTTTCAGCCATTTAGTGAACTAAAGTTATATTTGATAGTACAGTAAGTGCAACAACTAAAAGGGGACATTGCTCTCCTGGGACCTCTGTTAAGTGCTGCTGGACTATTTTACCTCAGTACAACGTGCAACGCTTGTGCACACGAGTCAAGATCAATCAAGAGTATTTCTTCATAAAGGACAAAAGTTGCACATAAGACTTACAAGGGATCACTTCAGTTGTTAAACACAATTGTCAACAAGTACAGGAAACCARTTCCAGGCTATAGAGGTCAGGTTTGGAAA